AAGCTCCCACAGACTTCAGCCATGAACTCCCATGAATTCTGGCCATGAACTCCCAGGAATTCTGGCCATGAACTCCTGAGAATTTCAGCCACAGACCCCATGAATTTTGGCCAGAAATACCCAGGAATTTTAGCTGCAAACTTCCATGAACTTTGGCCATGAACTCTCGGGAATTTCGGACAGGATCCCCCATGGATTTCAGACACGAACCCCAGGAACTCTGGCCGTGAACTCCCGGGAATTTCAGACACGAACCCCCATGGATTCTGCACAGGAGCTCCCATGGATTTCAGTTACGAACACCCAGGAATTCTGGCCCTGACCTCCCAGGAAGTTCAACTCCAAACCCCCACAGATTTTGCCATGAAACCCCATGCATTCCACCCATGAGCTCCTGTGGATTTCAGCCACAAACCCCCAGGATTCTGTCCACAAGCTCCCAGGAATTCCCAGGAATTGCACTGATTTCTGGGAAAAATCAGTGGGCTAGAGCAATAATCAGCATTTTAGAGCAACGAGGGGTCTGAGGGTCTTGAAATATCCAGAAAAAAGGAAAATTACGGAAAACAAACCAGGAAATGCCACAGTGGCCATGGGGACCCCTGGGACACCACCACCAAGGTTTGGGGGGATTCCCGGAACAGGGTCCCCCAGGACACAGATTCCAAGGCTCCAGGGACCCCCAGAACAACCACCAAGCTTTGGGGGGGGTCCCACAACAGGGACCCCCAGGACAGTGATTCCAAGACTCCAGGGACACCCAGGACACCACCACCGAGGTCTTGGGGAGGTCCCAGAACAGGAACCCCCAGGCACCAATCCAAAGGCTCCAGGGACCCCCAAGACTCCCCCAAAATTCCAGCTGTTACCACAACCAGCTCCTGGCCGAGCTCTCGAGCCTCTCCCCCAGCTCAGCTTTGAGCTGACCTCTGGGTGACCCCAGGAGTGTCCCCAAGGGCACGACCCCCCCATGACAAGGACAGTGACCCCCAGGGCCACTGTCACAGCTTGGGGGGTCCCACAGTGTCACTGTCACAGTATGAGGCTCCCTCAGGGTCACAATGTCGGGGTCACATCCCGTGGGGGTCCCAAAGTGTCAGAAGGTGGGGGTCCCACTGCATTGGGATGACACAACCTGGGGGTCCCACAGCGACACTGTCACGACATTGGGGTCCCACTGCATGGGGGTCCTACAGTGCCACAACGTGAGAGTCCCACAGTGACACTGCTATGGCTTGGGGGTCCCACAGTATCACAACGTGGGGGTCTCAACATGGGGATTCCAGAGAGACACTGTTACAGCTTGGGGTTCTCAGTGACACAATGTGGGGGTCCCACCATGACACTGTCACAGCATAGCAGTCCCATCATGTGGGGGGTCCCACCATGACACTGTCACATCTTTGGGGTCCCGCAGTGTCACAACATGGGAGTCCCACTGTGTTGGGGTGACACAACCTGGGGGTCCCGCAATGACACCTTCCCACCCTGTGGAGGTCCCACAGTGCCACTGTCATGACATGGAGGTCCCACAATGACACTGTCACAGTGCGGGGGTCCCAACTTGTGGGGGTCTCACAGTGCCACAAGGTGAGGGTCCCACAGAGACACTGTCACAGTACGGGGGTCCCACTGCGTGGGTATCCCAGTGTCACAAGGTGGGGGGGTCCCACCTTGCGGGGATCCCACAGTGACACAACATGGGGGTTCCACTGCGTGGGGGTCCCACAGTGCCACTTCACGACCTTGCCAACACCAAGCCCCAACCCCACAACGCACCCTCCCCCTCCTCCACGAAAGCCCAAAACACGCCCTTCCCACCCCAAAACCCCTTTAGTCCCCCCCGCACAAAGCACCTACTTGCTCTGGGGATTCACATTCTGCAACATCCCGACGGCTCCGTGCGCGGCCCACGGGCCCTCGTCTCCTCTTCCTCCTCCTCCTCCTCCTCCCGCCGTCTCCTCCGACGACCCCCCCACTTTGCCCGGCCAAAGCTCCGCCGCTCGCGGCCCGGTGGGGGCCCCCCCCCGTCAGCGCATCCCCGGCGGGATGAGGACGGGGAGGGGGTCGGGAGGCGAGCCAGGAGCCCCCCCTTTCCTCTATCTAATTAATTTTCCCTCAGGAGACGATGCCGGGACCCTCCCACGGCCTCAACATCCACGGGCGCGGCGAAAATGGCGGCGAGCGCTGAGGGGATGCAACGGGGGGGTACTGGAAGGGAGGGGGGGGCCCCTCTTCGGAGCTTCACCGGGAGGCACAAACCCGTCGCGACGCGCTCGATACAACCCTCGGCGAGTCGCTCGGAGCCCGGAGCACCCGCAAGGACCGCAGACGAGGCGCTGAGCCGCGGGGAGGCCGGCGGATGACGGCGGATCGACGGGATCAGCGGCCGCGCTCCATCTTGGCTCGCTGAGGGAGGTGGAGGGGGGGGGAAGGAGGAGGAGGACGAGGAGGCGGCCGCTCGCCGCCGGTGGCCGCAGGCAGGGGTCGCTGCGGAGGCCGGGGAGGGTTTCCCCCCCTCGGAGCTCCTCCGGGGGGATGGAGCCGAGAGAGGTTGGTTGCTTTTTTTTTTTTGAAGGGGCCGCCCCTCTGCGCGCTCTCTCTCGCTCGCTCTCTCTGCCGCGGCCCGACCAGCTCCGTCCCCTCGTCCACCGCGAAATGGCGCCGCTCGGCCTGCCCCCGCCCGCCCTTATATAGACGCGACCGGCCTCCCCATTGGCCGCCGGCACCGCTGACATCACGAACCCGCCCCTCCCCGCCCAACCGTAGCCTCATTGGGCGGTGGCACTCCCAACACCGCGCTCTCATTGGCTGACTGGCGCGTCAATCACCCCTACCTCCACCCGTGCAGCCCCACCTCCCCGCGCGGCTTTTCCGCCCGGCGCCTTCACCGAGAGCGGGCGGCGCCCTCGACGACCATTGGTTGGCGCCACCGCCCGCCGCTCGCTGGTTGGCCGAAGGGCAGCGAGGTGGGCGGGGGGAAGGGCGGCGGTTGGCGCTGAGGGGAGGGGGGGAAAGAGGTACCGCCATCTTGAATGGCGGCGGCGGCCGCGAGCGGGCGGGCGGACAATGAGCGCGGCCCTCCCAGGCGGCCTCTCCGCGTCCCCCCTTCTCCTCCGCTCCACCGAACACCATGGGGACTCCCCATTCCGCTCTCACCCCCCTCGCGGCGCTCGCGAACTCCTTAACACTCACTTGACCCGCGCACCGCCACCTGCCCCCCCCAACACGCCACGCACCGCGCAGCCCCCACGCAGCCCCCGCGCCCCCCGCTCTTCACGGGGGTCGCCAACGCCTCCCTGGTCACGCGCGGGACACCACAACCCCCACGGACTCGCCGCTGCCGTGGCCGCCAGCCCGGGTTAAGCCGCGATAAACCTCTCCCCTCCAACCCCCCCACACCTCTCACCCCGCAACCCTGAGGGCCCCGCGCCCGCGGGAGGGGCTGCAGCGCCCGCTCCCTCACACGGGAACCCCCCAAACCCCTTCATGGAACGTAAAAGGGTCGCATTCTTCAATTCTTCCCAGCCTCCCCCCCCCCGAACTCCACAGGGCTCGTGGAGGTCTCCGAGTCCCGTGCGATCCCTCCCTGCCCCACCCCCCCCCCAACGCCGTGACACAGCACTTGGGGCCGCGCCCGCCGCCGCCGCCCCCGCGCGAACACCCAAACATGGCGCTTTTCGCCCCAAACCGCCGCCCCCGCCGCGCGCACAAAGCCGGGCCCCCCAGCTGTCAATCAAGGCGACCCGCACCTCCCATTGGTTGAAGTGAGGTCTGAGGGGCGGGACATCACTTGATTGACAGCTCGCCGCCCCCACGTGACCTCCCCCCGCCCCTCACCGTCGGGGAGGGGGCAGGGCGAGGCCGCCCCCCCCCAAAAAAAAACTTCCCCAAAAATCACTCACCTGAACGGCCCCCGCGCCTGGCCGCGACCCCCGCGCCCGGCCCCGCTTCATCCGCGCCCCTCCCGCCCCGAAAAACCCCGTTTTGGGGGCAAAAAAGGTGAAAAAAAACCATCCCGGGGCAGAAAAGGGAGCCACGCGCTACGTCACCCGCGCCGCGATTGGCTGCCCGCGGTCACGTGCCCCCCCCGCGGCTCCCACGGGCCCACATTCATGGGGCCCCCCCGAGGGGCTCCGCGGGGTCTTAGTGCCCCGCGCATGCGCAGTGCGGTCCCGCTGCAGCGGTGCGGGGGGACCCACGGGGGTCCGGGGCGGGGGGCGGGGGCGGGGGGGGTTCCACGACATTCCAGGGGTGACCCCACGGGAGTCCGCGACATTCCAGGGGGGCAGCGCTGGGATCTGGGGGGGAGGGGGGGTGTCAAGTGAGGTGAGAGCGGTGTGGGGGGCACCCACGAGGGGTGGGGGGGTCCACGATATTCCAAGGGGGCAGCGCTGGGATCTGGGGGAGCGTCAGGTGGGGTGGGAGGGGTGGGGGAGGCACCCGCGGGGGTCCCTCGGGGCACCCACGGGGTAATTTGGGCTCCCGAGTATTCCGGGGTGACCCCACGGGTGTCCACGACATCCCAGGAGTGCCCCACTGGCACCCGTGGGGGGGTCAGGTGAGGTGCGAGGTGTGGAGGGCAGTCACGGGAGGATTGGGGGGGCGTGAGATGACCCCACGGGTGTCCACGGTATTCCAGGGGTCCCTCCCGAACCCCCGCGCACCCCTCGATGCCCCCTAATTATCACGACACCACTTAATTAACCACGCTAAGCTTGGGGGTCCCCCAACTTGAAGGGGGGTTCCCAAAGCTTTGTCCTCCCTCCTGACACGCGGGGGGACGTCGCGGGGATCCTCCCGTGACCCCCTCGGCGACTCCGTGGCTCTGTCACCTCAACCGCGCTCGCCTTGAGGCTTCTCCACCCGGCAACAAGTGACGCGCGCCAACAGAGCGCTCCCATTGGTCAGCGCGTCCGGGGGGGCGGGTCGGGGGTTGGGGAGGAGATTTTGGGGGGCTTTGGGAAAGAGTTTTTGGGAGGGTTTGGGGGAGTCACGCGGCGGGGCCTCCCCACCCCAACTGTGGCCTCACGGCGCGGGGATGGGAGGCAGTTTTTGGGGGCTCCTGGCCCCGCTGCTCGGGGGGCTTTTGGGAGTCGCCGCCGCCGTCACCCCCGGTAGGAAGGGGAAGGGGGTAGGGGGAGGGAGGGAGGGAGGAGGGGAGGCTTTGGGGGTAGGGGGGTGAGGGGGTGACCCCCTGCCCGCAACCGGCTATGTACCCCTGCCTGTACCTCTTGCCTGTACTTCTGGGTTATCCTGCCTAAATCCCTGCCTGTACCTCTGCCTGTACCCCCGGTTATCCCCCCTAAATCCCTGTCTGTACCCCCTGCCTGTCCCCCTTCCCTGTTCCTCCTTCCCTCCCCTTTTTCTGTTCCCTCTTCCTTGTTCCCCTTTTTCCTGTTCCCCTTTTCCCTCCCCCTTTTCTTCCTTTTTTTCTCCCCCTTTCTTCCTCTTTTTTCTACTCCTTTTTTTACTCCCCAAACCCCCTCAAATCCCCCCCAAACTACCCCAATTCCCATCCAAATCCCCCCAGCATCCCCCAAATCCCCCCCCAAATCCTTCCTAATCCCCTGTAAACTTCCCCAATCCCCCCCAAAGTCCCCCAATTTCCCCCCAAATCCTCCCCAATTCCCCCCAAATCCTCCCCAATTCCCCCCAAAGTCACCCAGTTCCCCCCAAATCCCCCCAGGATCCCTCAACCCACCCCAATTCGCATCCAAATCCCCCCAGGACTCCCTCAAATCCCCCCCAAACTCCCGCAATTCCCCCCAACATCCCCCCCAAATCCCCCCAACTCCCCCCTGTGCCCCCCCCAGAGCCCCCCACCCACCTCCTGGCCGAGGTTCTCACCTGCCAACCGGACACCCCTTCCCTGGACCTTTCCCTCACCTTGGACGGGCAGCGACTCTACAGCTTCGACTTCCCGGGATCCCGGTGGCTCCCGGCGCTCCCGGACCTGCCCCCGCTGCCCTCGGACCTGGAGACCCCCCCGGAGCTGCGCCTGGACGTGGAGCTGTGCCGGGGTGTCCTGGACGGGCTCGGCCGCTCGGCCGCCGGGGTCCTGCCCCAGGCCAGGGGTTGGTGACAGAGGGGACACCGGGGGCCGATGGAACTTTGGGGGTGGAAGGGATGGAGGAACTTGGGGATGGAAGGATGGAGAGAATGGGAAAACTTAGGGATGGAAAAGACCTGGATTCAGAAAAAAAAACCCTGGCTTCAGCAAAAAGCTCAGCCCTGAGGCTGGGATTGGAGGTTCCCCAACCCTGGAGCCCCCCAAGGCCAGGAATTGGGGCGGGACGTCCCTTTGGGATGGGACCCTTTGGAGGTCCCATCCCACCGTTTTTACGGGGTGCAATCCCCACAGGAATGCCAGTGGTCCAAGTGTTCCCGGCGCTGCCGCTGGCGCTGGGCGAGGCCAACACCCTGCTGTGCCTGGTGGAGAACGTCTTCCCGCCGGCCCTGGACGTCACCTGGACCCGGGGGGGTGTCCCCGTCACCCGGGGGGTCACCCAGGGGCCCTTCACCCCCACCCCAGAGCTCACCTTCTGGACCTTGTCCCGCCTGGAAGTGACCCCGGAGCGCGGGGACGTCTTCGCCTGCCTGGTGACCCCCCGGGGGGACAACGCCTCGGTGGTCACCTACTGGGGTGAGAGGGCGGCACTGGGAGGGGGGGACACCACGGCATGGGGGGCACTCCTGGGGGAGGTCCTGGTTCTTCTGGTCCTGGTTCTTCTGATCCTGGTCCCGGTGCCGGTCCTGGTCCCAGTTCTGCTCGTGGTCCTTGTCCCAGTCCTGGTTCTTCTGGTCCTGATCCTGGTCCCAGTCCCAGTTCTGGTCTTGTTCTCAGTCCTGGTCCCAGTCCTGATCCTGCTCCCAATCCCAATCCCAACGCCGCTGCCTCTCCTGAGCCGTGTCCCATTCCCGCAGTGCCCCCGGAGCCTCCGGAGGTGCCGGAGCTGCCGATGGTGCTTTGTGGGGCCGCGATGGCGCTCGGGGGGGTCCTGGGGCTCCTGGGGCTCTCCCTGCTCCTGCTGTCCCGGACGGATCCCCAAGGTACGTTTTGGGGGATGCCCCGAGGGGAGGGAGGGGCCTCGGGAATGTCCCTGACCCCCCTCTTTGTGTCTCCTCCCGCAGGTTGAGCAGAGGACGGAGAAGCTCCACGTGGGAATCTGGGAGGGGGACGAAGAACTGGAATGTTCCCGACCCCCAATTCCCATCATCCCAAATAAACTCTCCCCTTGGTTACGGCTGAGCTCGTGTCCTCGTGTGTTCGTCCCGTTCCGAAGCCGTTCCTGGACTTTTTCCACTGGGAAAGGCGGGATGTGACCCCTTGGTGGCTGATTTTGGGGTTCATCCCATTCCAGAGCCATTCCCAGAGGCTTTCCCAGCTGGAAAAGGTGGCTGATCTTGGGATTTATCCCAAATGCAGAGCTGTTCCCAGAGCTGTGTCCCAGTTTTCCCACTGGGAAACGTGGGATGTGGCCCACTGGTGGCTGATCTTGGGATTTATCCCATTCCAGAGCCATTCCCAGAGTTTTCCCACTGGGAAAGGTGGCATGTGACCTGTTGGTGGCTTCTCCAGTCCTGATCCTGGTCCCAGTCCTGGTTCTGGTCCTAGTCCTGGCTCCAGTCCTGATTCTGATCCTGGTCCCAGTTCGGCTCTTGGTCCTGATCCTGGTCCTTGTCCCAGCCCTGATCCTGGTCCTGATCTTGGTATTAGCCCTGGTCCCTAGTCCTGGTCTCAGTCCTTGTCCTAGTCCTGGCCCTGGTCCCAGTCCTGGCCCTGGTCCCGGTCCTGGTCCTGGTCCCAGTTCTGATCCTGGTCCTACTCCTAGTCCTGCTCCTGGTCCTGATCTTGGTCTTTGTTCCAGTCCTGATCTTGATCCTTAGACCAGTCCTGAGTCCTGGTCCTGGTCCCTAGTCCTGGTCCCGATCCTGATCCCAGTCCTGATCCTGGCCCTGGTCCTGATCTTGGTCCTGATCCCAGTCCTGGTCCTGATCCTAATCCCACTCCCAGTTCTGCTTCTGGCCCTGATCCTGGTCCCGGTCCTGATCCTGGTCCTGGTCCCAGTCCTGGTTCTGATCCAGGTCCCGGTCCCAGTCCTGGTTCTGATCCAGGTCCCGGTCCTGATCCTGATCCCAGTCCCGGTTCTGCTCCTGGTCCCGGTCCTGCCCCCGCTCCCGCTGCTGATCCCGGTCCCGGTCCCGTCTAAGTCCGGCCCGCGGCGGCCTCGGGCGGGTCCTGCCCGGCAACCGGTGACGCGCCTCGGCCGCCGCCTCCCATTGGCTGTCCCGGGCCCCCCCGCCCTTAGGCGGGGCTTAAAGGCTCGGGCCGGGCGGGGGGTCCGGGGGGGTCTCAGAGCGCGGCCGGACCCCCCAAACTCCGCGATGTTGGTGCTGCTCGTCCTGGTCCTCGGGACCCCCCACGCAGGTGGGATTTTGGGGGGGATTTCTGGGGGCAAAGGGGGGTGTTTTGGGGGAGCTCAGTCCTGTGGGACCGCGGATTTGGGGGGAGGGGAACAAGGGGGGGTTTGAGGGGATTCATTTTATGGGAGCAAGGGGGTGGGTTTGGGGAGTCCCAAACCCGTGCGCTCCAAATCCCCCCTTGTATCCCCCCCAAATCCCCCCATATCCCACTCAAACGCCCTCAAACCCCCCCAGATACCCCCAAACCGCCCCAGATCCCCTCAAATCCCCCCTAACCCCCCCAAAATCCCTCCCCCCACAGGCGCCTTCGTGGTTCAGGTGGCCAGTGAGTGCCCCGTGCCAGCCACCAACGGCTCCTTCGACCTCACCCTCCTCTTCAACAAGGTCCCCCTGGTCTGCGTGGACTCCCAGGGCCCCCCCAAATTCGCGCCCTGCGGGGGGGGTCCCCTGGAGACCATCGGGGCCCGACTGGCCGAGAAGCTCAACGGGGATCCCCAGTGGGGGGAGAGGCTCCGGAAAAGGGGGGAGGTCTGCACCCAACTGCCCCCAAAAGTGTGGGGGGACACGGCCCAGAGGAGGGGTGAGAGTCTGGGGGGGTTGGGAATGGGAGAACTGGGAATGGGAGGGGTTATGGAAGGGATTCCATGGGGGCGTTGGGAGTGGGGGAATCGGGAACCGGGGGGGTGGGACTGGGGGAGGATTGGGAATGGGAGAACTGGGAATGGGGGATTTGGGAATGGAAGGATTGAGAACAGGGAGGTGGGAATGGGGAATTGGGAATGGGGGGGTTTAGGGGGGGATTTGGGAATGAGGGGATTGAGAATGGGGGGTGGGAATGGGGGGAATTGGGAATCCGGGGGTATGGGGGATTGGGAATGGGGGATGGAAATGGAGGGATTGAGAATGTGGGGGATTGGGAACGGGGGGTTTTATGGGGGGGATTCCATGGGGGGCTTTGAGAACGGGGGGGGATTAGAAATGAGGCCCCCCATGAGGTTTATGGGGGGATTGGGAACAGGGGGTTTCACGGGGGGATTCTGGGGGATCTGGGAACGGGATCAGCTCTCCCTGACCTCATCCCACCCCCATTCCCCCAACCCCCCCCTTTATCCCAGTGCCCCCCAAAATCCGCATCGTCCCCTCGGCGCCGGGGAACGCCCAGAGCCCCCTCGTCCTGACGTGCCACGTGTGGGGCTTTTACCCCCCCGAGCTGAGCCTGGCCTGGCTCAGGAACGGGGTGGTCCTGGAGCCCCAGGGCCCCCCCGGGTCCCCCCTGATTGTCCCCATGGGGGACTGGAGCTACAGGAGCGAGGGGACCCTCGAGGTGACCCCTGAGCCCGGGGACACCTTCACGTGCTTGGTGCAGCACCCGAGCCTCGAGCAGCCCCTCCTGGAGGACTGGGGTGAGCCTTTGGGGGGCTTGGGGGGGTTTTGAGGGGTGGGGCGACCCCCCCGTGGGTGGTTGAGGGGGGTAAAGTCACCCCAAATCCTCCTGGAACACCTCAAATGTTCCCAGAACCCACCAAAGACACGCCCCAAAAGCCCATTAGACCCCCCAGGGACCCCCCAAATCCTGCCAGGACCCCCCAAAGATTCACCTCAAAATCTCATCAGACCCCCCTCAAATCATCCCAGACCCCCCAAAAGTCTGTAAGAACCCCCAAAACCCCTAAAGCCCTTTCCAGCCCCCCTAAACCGCCCTAACCCCCCCATCCTACCCCAGCTCCAGGCCTGTCCCCACGGCTGTCCCTGCTGGTGGCCTTGGCTACCCTGGCCATGGTTTTGGGGCTCCTCCTCTTCAGCTTCGGCCTCTGGAGGTACCAGAAGAAGGCCCCAATCCCAGGTGAGACCCTTGGGGGCCAAAAGGGGGGGTGGTCTTGGGGTGACAACTCCCCCCTGAGCACCCTGTCCCCCCTCTTTGCAGGTTACACTCCTCTGCCAGGTGACAACTGTGCAGGTAAAGGACACCCCCCCACCCCAAATGGTCCCAAATGGGGGGCCCCTGTCCCCTCTGGGGATGTCCCCCCTTATACCACCTCCTGTCCCCCTCCAGGCAGCATCTGAGGACCCCCAGGACCCCCAGAACAGCGACATCGTGTCTGTGACAGACTCCAAGCCCCTCAACCCCCCCAAATGTCACCCAAAATGTCCCCAAAAAATGGAAATAAAGATGCTCCTTTGTGACAAAGTCATTTTGGGGTTGGCTGTGACATGAGGGACACTTGTACGACCCCCGCCCCCCCCCTCCACGGGGGTGCCCGACTTTCCTTTACCCTTTTTCCTGCCTTTTTCACCCCAGAAACCCCTCGCGAGATCTGCCTAGAAACCGGTGACGCCACGGCAGACGCGGGCCTTGATTGGTCTACGGGAGGCGTCCCCGCCAATGGCTTCCTTGTCCACCCTCGAGAGCCCCGTGAGGCTTTTGGGGCTTCCTGACGCGACTCTGTCCCCTCCACGCGTGTTTATTCCCCTCTATAGGGTCACTCTGTGCCTCCCACGCCTGTTTTTGTCCCTTTATAATGAGTTTTTACGCCTCTCGCGTGGGCGAGAGCTCTCAACAAATATGGCGGACGTGGCTTGATGTGCATGCTGATGAGACTCCCCCCCTCTGGCGCCTTTAGGGCTCCCTGATCCCACTCTGTCCCCTTCACGCGTGTTTTTACCCCTCTACCGTTAATTGACTCCGCTTCATGGCGGCAAGCACCCTCAACAAATATGGCGGCGTGTGGGCGAGCGCCCTCAACAAACATGGCGACCGCAGCATGCGCATTGAGGCCAGAGTAGGCACAGTGAGGGCAGGAAGGGCGGAAGAGCAGCGTCATGGTGAAGTTTGCGCATGCGCAGTCGGAAGGGAACCCGAGCCCTTCCATAAGAGGCCGGGAAGCCCCATCGACCCTCTTTTCCTCGGTCGGAGTCAGGGCCGCCGCCATGTGAGCGGGGAAAGGGGGGAAAAGCGGGAATTCTGAGGGGAAAAGTGGAATTTGTGAGGGGGAAAATGGGATCGGGGGGTGAGGGGGAGTCCTCAGAGGGGATTTAGGGGGGTTCGAGGCCGGGGGGGTTTCGGGGAGGGGAGAAAAAAGGGTTTGAAGGGGGACTTGGGGGGAGGGGAAGTGGATCCTACCGGTTTTCCTGGGATTTAATTGAAAGGGTTTGGTCGGGATTTGCAGGGTTGAGGGAGTTGGGGAAAAGAAGGGAGTAGAGTTGGAATGGGGGATAAAAATGTGGGAAAAGGGAGATAAAACGGAGGGAAAAGGAAGATAAAACGGAGGGAAAAGGAGGATCCAGAGTGGGAATGGGAGTAAAAACTGTGGGAAAAGGGGGATAAAATTGTGGGAATGCGGGATCCAGAGTGGGGAAAGGGGAATCCACGGCGGGAAATGAGAGATTCAGAGTGTGAAAGGAGAGAGGAGGAATCCACGGCAGGAAAACGTGAAAAGAGTGGGAAAAGAGGCATCTAGAGTAGGAAACGGTGATAACAGTGGGAAAAGAGAGGGAAATGAGGGATCCAGAGCAGGAAAGGGAGGGATCCCAGTGCGACCCCCTTTTCCAAGCCCCTTCCCTGCCCCTTTTCCCACATTGATCCCATGTTTTTCCGTGTTTTTTTCCAGCATGACCGACTGGGAGACGGCGCCAGCCGTGACCGAGACTCCGGATATCAAACTTTTTGGGAAGTGGAGCACAGATGATGTGCAGATCAACGACATCTCCCTGCAGGTGACCCGGAATTCTGGGGGTCCTGGAGAGCCAGAGGAGGCTCCACAGGGGGAGAAAAGTGGAAATGCTGGGGATCCAGGAGGGGAAAAGGGGGGGGTCAAGGATGGGCAGATCAACGGCATCTCCCTGCAGGTGATCTGGAATTCTGGGGGGCCAGAGGGGGAAAAGGGGAATCCAGAGGAGGAGAAAAGTGGGAAAAGAAGGATGCAGAGTAGAAAAGAGGAACCCAGAGTGGGAAAAGAGAAGGAAAAGAGAAGGGAAAAGGGGGATCCAGGGTGGGAAAGAGGGAAGGGAAAGAATGGGGAAAAGGGTGGGGAAGGAAGCATCCAGAGAGGGAGAAAAGTGGGAAAAGAAGGATCTGGAGTAGATAAAATGAATCCACAGTGGACAAAAAAAGATCCAGAGCGGGCAAAAGAGACTCCAGAGCAGCACAACGGGCTTGTCTCTGCGTCCCTACGGATCGGGGAGGGTCCCTGCCCCTGATCACCTGGAATTGCCGTTGTTCCCGGCAGGATTACATCGCGGTGAAGGAGAAGTACGCCAAGTACCTCCCGCACAGCGCCGGGCGCTACGCGGCCAAGCGCTTCCGCAAGGCGCAGTGTCCCATCGTGGAGCGCCTCACCAACTCCATGATGATGCACGGCAGGAACAACGGCAAGAAGCTCATGACCGTCAGGATCGTCAAGCACGCCTTCGAGATCATCCACCTGCTCACCGGCGAGGTGGGAATTCCTTGGGAATAGGCGTGGGGGAAAAAACCCCCGCCTTCGAGGTCGCGACGCGCGGCTTCGGGATCGCCCGGGGGACGCGGGAATTCCGTGGGAACACGGGGGGAAATGGGTCGGAATAATGGGAGGAGGCTCAGGACCGTGGAACGGGACTTTAAGATCATCCAGCTGCTCACTGGGGAGGTGGGAATTCCGTGGCAGTTGTTGGGATTCCGGGCAGGGAAAAAATCCCCTTTGCGAGGGTGAAATGAGGCTTTGGGAGGTGGGAGAGACACGGGAACTGGGGGGGGGGGGGTTGGGGTTCCAGGAGAGGATTTTTTTGGGGATCCGGGAGGGATATTTTGGAATCTGGAGGGTCTGAATTCCCAGTTCTTCCCCCCAGAACCCCCTCCAGGTGCTGGTCAATGCCATCATCAACTCGGGGCCCCGCGAGGACTCGACTCGGATCGGCCGCGCCGGCACCGTCCGGAGACAGGCCGTGGACGTGTCCCCCCTGCGCAGGGTCAACCAGGTACCCCAGAATTCCCAAAACTCCCCAGTCCTGGGATCCCCCAGTCCCAGAATCACCAAATCCTGGAATTCCCAAATCCTGGGATCTCAAATCCCGCAATCTAGGGATCCCCCCCAATCCCAGGATCCCAAATACTCCAATGCTGGAATGCCTCAATCCCAGAACCCCCACATTCTGGGACCCCAAATCCCCAAGTCTCGGGATCCCACAATCCCAAGATCTCCCAATCCTGGGATCTCAAGTCCCACAAACCCTCTAATCTTGGAACCCCAAATCACCCGATCCTGGGACCTCAAATCCTGGGATCCCAGAATCCCCAAATCCCAGGGGGCTCCTTTACCCTGTTCCCAGAGGGTTCCTGTTCTCCCTGTTCCTGAGGAGATCCCATAATCCTTTCTCCTCCTTGTCCCCACTTCCCCCCCGTCTCCCCCTCATTCCCGGTTTTTCCCATTCCAGGCCATCTGGCTCCTGTGCACGGGCGCCCGCGAAGCTGCTTTCCGGAACATCAAAACCATCGCCGAGTGTTTGGCCGACGAGCTCATTAATGCAGCCAAGGTACCCCAAACACCCCAAAACCGCCCCAAAAACCTGCTCCAGGCCTTCCCAAATAACTCCCAAATCCCCAAACCCCCCTAGAGCCCCCCAAAAAAACCAAAACTGCCCCAAAAACACTCCCCCAACCTCCCCCCAGACCCCTCAAAACCACCCCCAGACCCCCTAACCCCCCCCAGACCCCAGATTCCAAGGACAGGGAATTTCCAGATCCCTGAATTTTTGGAAGGGAGGGTCAGAATGAACACCCAGACCCCCAAAACCACCCCTCAGACCCCCCAAAGCCCCTCAAAATCCTCCCCAGCCCCTCCTCAACCCCCTTTTCCCGCTTTTCCAGGGCTCTTCCAACTCCTACGCCATCAAGAAGAAGGATGAGCTGGAGCGTGTGGCCAAATCCAACCGTTAGAGACCCCCTGGAATGGGGGGACCCCCTCCCCAAATAAATCCATGTGTTCTCTGATCCCCCCCGCCTGTCCTGGGGGTCAATTCCCAACCCCCTCCCAAAAATTCAGAGTCTGGGAATGCCTTGTGCCTGGAATTTGGGGTCTGGGGGGGTGTTTTGGGGGCAGGGCGTTTTTAGGGATATTTGGGTGTTAATTCCAACCCCCCTCCCAGAAAACCCAGACTCTGGGAACGCCCAAAATCTGGGACCACCCTTTCCTAAACCACTTCCCAACCCATCCCAGAATTCCTGAGGCCCTTAAAACTCTGGGATGTGGTTCTGGGACCCCCCAAATCCCAATCCAGACCCCCCACCAATCCCTCTGGATCCTGTCTTCCCTGGAAAACACCACACGAGACACTTGGGAAGAAGGAAAAGAGTCCGGTTTTCCCAGTAAAGTGCGGCTGTACAGGAGGGGCCGGACCCGGATACAACAGTCTGGGAATTTGGGAATTCTCTGGACACATGGAATTCCATCCAGATGATCCCACTGGATCCACCCCCTTCCCAAAAACCCACCCTCTGGATCCGTCCCATTCCCGAGGGATTGGGAACACCCTGCATGGATTCAAAGCCGGGCTTGGAGACAAAGCCCGGACCTAAAACTTTGGGATTCCCAGGGAATTCCCATGGGATACAACCCTGGAATGGGATCCCAGGGTCAGGGAGCTACAGGGGATTATGGGGATTCCTGGGATGCGGAAGAGGGGGAGGGATGGGAATTGCTACAGGTGGAGAGGGGGTGGGAAGGCACCGGGAGTGGTGTGGGATGAGTGTAGGATTTGTGGGATCACTGGGGGTTTTGGGATGAGTGTGGGATTTATGGGATTGCTGTGGGATTTCTGGGAATGGTGTGGGATTTATGGGATCACTGTAGGATTTTTGGGATAACTTGAGGGGGTTTGGGGATGATTGTCAGGTTTTTGGGATAACTGTGGGTTTTATGGGATAACTGTAGGATTATGGGAATGCTGTGGGATTTCTAGGATAACTGGGCTTTGACTGTAGAGGAGATCAGGACAACCCTTGGGGAATTTTGGGGGGTCTTCCCACTTTTCCAATTCATCTCCTGCTCCTCCCTCTTTATTTAAGCCCCACCCCCTTTATTTAAGCCCTTCCCACCTCATTTAAGCCCCTCCCACGCCACTTTTCCACCTGATCCCAGGAAAACCTGGAACCCCGAGAAAGGTGGAGAACACCCCAAACCAGCACAATTATCCCAAAAACCTCATTAATAATTGGTCAAAGAGGCCCCGCCCCTGATCCAAGCCCCTCCCACCCCCCTTTTCCATTGAATTCCCGGAGGAGCAAAACACCCCAAACCACCTCCAAGACGCCCCAAATTATCCCGAAACCCTCATTAACAATTAGCTGTCGAGGCCCCGCCCCCGGTCTAAGCCCCGCCCCGGGGGAGGGGTCACTTGTAGAGGAGGTGGACGCGGCTCCCGTCGCAATTCCCGCGTCCCAACTTCTCGGCCTGCTCGGACACGAGGCAGCGCACGAGGGGCAGGTTGGGTTGGTAGAAGGGGGGTCCCGTCCCCCCTCCCCCGCCCGGGGGGGCCGCGGGGGCTCCCCCCGATCCCGGCGGGAAGTGGTTGTTGTCGCCGTTCTCCCGGGACGGGTTGGACGGGCGGCGGCGGGAGCGGAGCTGCTGCCGGTCCTGGAGCTGCTGCCGGAGCTCCGACACCCGCTCTTCCTTCTGGGAACGGGAACGGGAATCCCCCTCAGCGGGGCCCCCCCCGACCCTCAGATCCCATCTGAGGTCCTCAAACCACCATTTTAGGGTCGCAATCCCATTCTGGGTCCCTCAACCCCATTTAGGGTCCCCCAACCCCATTTAGGGTCCCCTAAACCCCATTTGGGGTCCCAACCCCTATTTGGGGCCCCCCAATCCCCCCTTTGGGGTCGTCTCCCCCCCCGACCTCGGCGATGATCTTCTCCAGCTCCCGGTTCTCCTTCTCCAGGAGCCGGGATTTCTCCTCCTCGTTGTTGTTGGTGGAGGATCCCGTTTTCATGGTGTCCTGCTGCTCCGACTGCCACTCCCCCCGCGTGATCAGGCGCCGCATCTGCATTTATGGGATTTATGGGATTGACCCCAAAACAATGACTGTGGGGTCCACGGGGTGTGGGGGGGGGTCAATAGGATGGTTCGAGGATCAGTGAGATGGCTGTAGGGTCAATGGGATCACTGTAGGGTTCACAGGATCACTGTAGGGTCCATGGGATCACTGTAGGGTTTATGGGATCACTGTAGGGTTTATGGGGTCACTGTAGGATTTTGGGTCACTGCAGGGTTTTGGGGTCACTGCAGGGTTTTGGGGTCACTGTGGGGTCTCTGGGGTCGATCCCAAGCCCACCTTGGGCACAAAGAGGACGACGAGGGTGATGTAGGACGAGAAGACGACGGCCAGCGCCGCGAAGGCAAAGGCGGCGTCCTGTTGGCTGCTCAGGATCATCGTCACCGGCGCTGTGATGAGGCAAAGCACCTGCGGGGGGGTTTGGGGTCACTCTGTGGGATTTGGGGTCACCTCGTGGGGTTTGGGGTCACTTTGGGGTCACTCTGTGGGGTTTGGGGTCACTCTGTGGGGTTTGGGGTCACCACATGGGATTTGGGGTCACCAGGTGGGATTTGGGGTCACCAGGTGGGATTTGGGGTGGGTTTGGGGTGTTTTTTACCGCCACGTTGTAAATGGCCATGCCGACGGCGCGGTGGTCGTTGATCTTCTCGGTGGAGACGCTCTTGGTCTCGTAGGCCAAGAAGATCCCGAGGAGGAGCAGGAGACCCTTGAACCCATAAAATATCCCTGGAAAAAGGGGGGGGGGAAATGGGATTGGAGGATCAAACAGGGACCCCAGAACCTCCCTGTGCCCCCCAAATCCTCCCTGTGCACCCCCAAAACCCACTTTTACCCCCCAAAACCCCCTTGTCCCCCCCCCAAACCTCTCTAACCCCCCCCAGAACCACCCAGACCCCCCAAAACCCTCTTTTACCTCCCAAAACACCCCCAAAAGCCCCCAAAATGCCCCCCAAACCCCTTCCCCCCCAAAAAATGCCCCTACAAGCCCCCTTTTCCCCCAAAACTCCCTGTCCCTGCCCACTCCTGTCCCCCCTCAACCTCCCTGAGCCCCCCACAACCTCCCAGACCCCCCGAAGGCCCCCCCAGGACCCCCCAAAACCCCACCCAGCCACGTGTTCATCTTGGTGGAGCTGCAGTGCTCAAGCTGGGGCAGGATGGACACGTCCAGGTCCGTCTTGGGCTCCTCCTTGGTGAATTCCTGGGAATTTGGGGTGGGAATTGGGCACAGAGGGGGTGGTGAGGGGGTGGGAGCTGTGGGGACCCCCCTAAAGCCCCCCCAATGTCAAGGAGACGCCCCCAACACCTTGAATATCAAGACGAGCCCCCCAAGGTCTTGAATCGCTTTAAGACCCCCAAAACCCCAATTCCAAGGACAGGGAAGTTTCCAGATTCCTGAATTTTTGGGGAGGGGTCGGAATGACCACCCAGAGCCCCCAAAACAACCCCCACACCCCTAAAACTCCCCCAAAGACCCCCCAAAACAACCCCCAGAGCCCCCCAAACCCCCAATTCCAAGGACAGGGGACTTCCCAGAATCCTGAATTTTTTTGGGGACCCCCCAGAAGCCCCCCCAGGGCCCCCCTTCCCCCCACCTCGATGGTTCGGTGCAGGGGGTCCACGATCTGCCACACGACCAAGGTCACCACGTCCAGCCCCACCAGCAGCCCCACGGTGGCGTAGAGTTTCCAGGGCTCCAAAGTCTGGGATTTGGGGATTTGGGGATGAGGCCGGGTCACCAGGGACCACCTGAGACCCCCCCCAGTGTCCCCCCTCACCTTCCTCTTCTCCTTCTTCTCCTCCTTCTTGGTGAAGACGGTGTGGACCCACCAGATCTTGGTGAACATGCTGCCGTAGGCCAGGCTAAAGCCCAGGCCTAAGAGCCAAAGCCGGGCCTGAAAGGGACGGTTGTGCTTCCAGCTGGGAATTCCCGGGACACCTGGACCACCCCCAGGGACGGGACCCCCCCAAAAGGGGTATAAATCCCCCCAATCCCCCCTGAAAGGGCTGTAAAACCCCTAAAATGGGAGTAAACCCCCGGCTGTATCTCCGACTGTTCTTCCTCCAGCTGTTCCCACCCGTTTGTCCCCATTCCCTGGCTGTGTTTCCAGCTGTTCCCACCCCTGGCTGTGTTTCCAGCTGTTCCTCCTCCCCCTGTTCCCGTCCCTGGCTGTCCCAGACCTGGCAGACGAAGGGGAACATCCCGGGGCCGATGTGGTATCCGTCCAATCCCAGCGGGAACACGGCGGCGAGCGCCAGGGTGCAGCCCACGGCCGTCATGTTGTTCAGGTAGGGCTGGGAATTCTGGATGTACCTACAGGGAAGGGGCCAGGACATTCCACTGGGGACCTCCAACCCATTTTTCCTGGTTTTTTCCCTGTTTTTCTCCTGGGTTTTTCCCCAGTCTCTTCCTGTTTTCCCCATTTTCCCTGGTTTTCTCCTGTTTTTTCCCAGTTTTTCTTCTGTTTTTTTCCTCCTCTTTTCCTCTTGTTTTTTTCTCCAATTTTTTCCCTGCTTTTCCCAATTTTCCCCTGTTTTTCTACAGGGTTTTCCTCATTTTCCCCCATTCCCCCCATTTCTCCCCTCCAGCAACAGGTCATTGAGATGTTTTTCCCAATTTTTCCCCGTTTTTTTCCCCACTGTCCCCAAATCCCGGGACAGGGGGGTGTCCCCAAATCCCGGGACACGGGGGTGTCCCCAAATCCCGGGACACGGGGGTGTCCCCAAATCCCGGGAAAGGGGGGGTGTCCCCAAATCCCAGGACAGGGGGGTGTCCCGGCCCTCCCGCCGACCTGACGTGGCCGTTGTAGATGTTGAAGGCGAGGCAGACGACGGCCAGGACGATTCCCAGGGACGCCAGGACGGACACGGAGATGAAAAGCTTCTGGGAGAGGAAGCGGAAGGTGGTGATGACCTTGGTGTAGTCGGCGGGCGGGGAACCCCCTGTGGGACCGGCAGTGCCGTCAGGGGGGGCCGGGGGGCCCCCAGCCCTGCCCCCCCGACCACCCCCCTTTGCCCAATTCCTCACCAGTTTTCTGAATTTCCCCTTTTCCCCTGTGATTTTCCCCTGTGATTTTTCCCAATTTTCCCCATTTTCCCCCCATTTCCCCTGTGATTTTCCCCATTTCCCCTGTGATTTTCCCCATTTCCCCTGTGGTTTTCCCTGTGGTTTCCCCGGTCCCGCCCTCACCGATCCAGCGGTCGTTGTTGTACCAGGACAGGTTGTCCTTGGTGCTGTCGTAGTACCCAATCTTCTTGTAGACGCCTCCTGGGGACACCCGGGCGTTGGGGACACCTCGGGTGGGTCACCAGGGGCCCCGGGGGGTCTCCTGCCCCCCCCCGGACCACCCAGCCCCCGTTTCCTCCTCACCCTGGAGCTGCTCAATGAGGGTCCAGGCCATGCGGGACCCGCTGGCATCGAACACCACGTGGCCCTGGGGGGGACGGAGAGGGGACCAGTTGGGGACAGCCCGGGGGTCCCCAGAGGGGGGTGGGACAAGGTTTGGCTCTGGGAGGGTTGGGGACCCCCTTGGTGGCCCCTCCACCCCTGGGGAAGCTCGGGGACCCCCCGGGCCGCACCGAGACGCCCTCGAAGGCCGAGGAGTTGAGGGCCCGGTAGATCTCGTCCGTGATGTTCTTGTTGTTGTAGTTGAAGTCCTCCAACCTCAAGCCCTTCTTGACCAGCTCGGCCGAGGTCTTGTTGAGGGCCAAGGCCAAGGCCCAGATGGCATCATAGGCGAGGGGGGCCTCCTGGAACCCCCCGGTCTCCTCAGGGTTCTTCCCCAGCCTCTTCTGGAGCTTCTCGATGAACTCCTGCGACGTCTGCGGGGGGTCGACACCGCGGGTTGGGTGGGGTCAGGTTGGGGTGGGTTGGGGACATTCTTGGTGGCGCCTCCACCCAACTGGGAGGGTTGGGGACACCCTTGGTGACACCTTCACCCAAAATGGTGGGCTGGGGACACCCTTGGTTTGAAGGGTTGGGGACACCCTTGGTGCCCCTTGGACTGTCGTTGACCCCCTTGGTGGCCCTGGGTGTGTCACTGACCCCCTTGGTGGCCCTTGGAGTGTCGTTGACCCCCTTGGTGGCCCTGGGACCCCCTTGGTGGCCCCGGGCGGGTCGGGGTCCCCCCGGTACCATGTTGGAGATGCTCCTGGTGTTCTCGGGGTTGAGCATCACGATCTCGGTGGTGACGTGTCCCTCCACGGCCTCGGCCATCTCGGCCTCGGTGCAGTTGATGGCGGGGTCCTTGATGCGGAACCAGTTGTCGGCGTACCAGCCAATCAGGAACCACACGTACTTCTTGCCGTAGAGCTTCTCCTTGTACACCTGGGGGGGTCCATCCATCCACCTCCATCATCTCCAGCCACCTCCAGCCGACCATCTCCATCCCTCCATCCACCTTCCATCCGTTCATCCATCACCCGTCTATCCACACCCTTCTTCTCTCCCATCCATCCCTCCCTCCGTCCATCTAACCATCCATCTCTGTCCATCCATCCATCCACCATCTCCAGGTGGTCTCCATCCCTCCCTCCATCCCTCCCTCCATCCCTCTCACCTCACAGAAGACCTTCCTGGCCTCGGTCTCGTAGAAGAGCCCCACGATGATCCGGGCGTCCTGGCGCTGGGGGGACACATCAGTTGGGGGGTGTGTCCTCACCCTGGCCCCTCCCACCCTCATTTGCATAAATTCACATGGAGGCTGACGTCCCCAGACTGCCTCACAACTCCCAACCCCCTCCCAAATCCTTGGATCCATCCTTGGACCCCCAGCCGGGTCCCCTTGGTTGACCCCCAACCCCTCCTTGGTGGCCCCCAACCGCCCCAAATCCCCCAGACTCCCTCTGTGCCCCCCAAAACCCCCATCCCGACCCCCCCAAACCCCCCCAACCCCCGGGTGGTCTCACCTTGAGGTTCCTGACGGGGGCGGCGGGGTCGGAGAAGAAGCTCTGGCGGAAGGTGATCTCCAGCCCGGCCTCCTTCACCCGCTGGTCCAGGTCGTCCAGGGTCTGAGGGGGTTTGGGGGGTCCCGGGGAAGGGGGAGAGAGGGCGGAGTGAGTTTGGGGGGATTTGGGGGGGTTGGGGGGCACCAAGGAGGGGTTCGGGGTCAACCCAGGGGACCCAGCTGGGGGTCCAAGGACAGATCCAAGGACTTGGGGGGGGTGGGAGGTCATGGGGCAGTTTGGGGGGGTCGGGAGGGGGGCTGGGGGGGCACAGGGGGAGTCTAGGGGGGATTTGAGGGTTGGGGGTCACCAAGGAGGGGTTGGAATTCCCGGATCTGGGAATGGTGGGGGGTCCTGGGCGGGTCCGGGGGGTCCTCACCGAGGTGAAGACCTCGGTGGTCTGCTGGATGGTGGCGATCTTGGTCCAGCCCCACTTCTTGAAGAGCTGCACCCTCGTGGGGTTGTGGAGCGTCGCCGACGGGTGGGTCCGGAAAAAGGTCGGGAAGCGCTGCCGGTTGGACAAGGCCGGGGAGCTGGAGCCGTAGGAAAGCTGGGAATTCCGGGAGGGAATGTGGTCACGGGGGAGGCAACAAAGAGACACCCCCCCCCCCCACGCCAACCACACCAGGGACACCTGGAGCCAGAGGAAAGCTGGGAATTCCGGGAACGGTCCCATGTGGATACGACCACGGGATACTGGGAACGGGTCATGGGATACTGGGGATTGCCCCATGTGGATACTGGGAATGGCTCCGGGTGGATGTGACCATGGGATACTGGGAATGGTGTCCCCAAACTCCGTGGTCCCCCCGCCCCAGCATTCCCGGCATTCCCAGTGTCCCCAAACTCCGTTGTCCCCCCGCCCCAGCATTCCCAGCGTTCCCGGCATTCCCAGTGTCCCCAAACTCCATTGTCCCCCCGCCCCAGCGTTCCCGGCGTTCCCAGCGTTCCCGGCGTTCCCGGTGTCCCTCACCACGATGAGGTTCCACATCCGGGCGGCCTCGGCCACGAGTGTGGAGACGCTGGAGCAGCCGGGCATGAGGATGATCTTGATGGGGTCGTTGTAGAGCAGCTCGTACAGGAACTTGGTGGCCTGGCCGGGGTCACACTGGGGGGGCACGGGGACAGATTGGGGGGGGACACCCCAGACCGCCCTCTCCCAGTCCCACCCAGTGGGCGCTCCCAGTTCCTCCCAGTTCAACCCCTCCCCCAGCCCCAAATTCCATCCTAAAACCCCTTTTTGGGGGGTCCCTGAGCCCCCACATTGAGGATTTGGGGGGGGGGGGTCGTCCCAGTTTTTTGGGGGGGCCATAAAGGGTTTGGAGACACTCCCCCCCAGCAGCTCCCAGTTCCTCCCAGTCCAGCCTCCCAGCAGCTCCCAGTTCCTCCCAGTCCGACTCCCCCAGCCCCAAATTCCACCCCAAAACCCCTTTTTTGGGGGTCCCTGAGCCCCCAAATTGAGGATTTGGGGGGTTCCCGGAGGGGGGGGGATGGGCCTGGGGGGGGGTCCATGAATAATTCAGGACACGGATGGTCCCGGAAAAAGAGCCGGGAGCGGTTGCCATGGCAACCCAGCGGCAGACCCAGCAGCATCCCTGTTGCTGTGGCAACCGGGCAGGACCAGTGGGGGGGCTGGGGGGGCTGGGGGGGTCCAAAAGGGGGGTCTAAGAGGGACAGACAGACAGACATGGGGGATCTGGGGAGGGTTTGGGGGGATTTGGGGAGGATTTGGGGGTTTAGGGGGATTTAGAGGAGCTTTGGGGGGATTGGGGAGATTTGGAGGAGTTTTGGGGAGGGTTGAGGGGTCTGAGGGGGACTTGGGGGGATTTTGGGGGGTTTTCTGGGGTATTTGGGGGGGTTGGGGGAGTTTGGGGGGATTTTGGGGGTGTTCAGTCACCTCCTGGTGACCTCCACCCCATTCCACCTCCTTCCATCATCTCTCAGTGACCCCAAACCCCCTCCCCATGACCCCAAACCTCATCGTAGACCCCAAAACTCATCTTCAACCTCATCCACCATTTTCCAACACATCTAAATGACAACAACGAACCTCCTGGGAACCAAAAAACTCAGAATGGTGACCCCAAACGCCATCCCACCCCCTCCTGGTGCCCCCAAACCCCCTCCTGGTGTTCCCTAACCCCATCTCACCCCACCTCAGTGACCCCAAACCTCATCTTGGTGCCCCCAAACCCCCTCCCGGTGCCCCCCAGCCCCATTCCCCCGTGTCCCACCTTGCTGTCGTGATGGATGAGCCTCAGCTCGTAGTGGGGCAGGATGTCCCACCCCACCTCAGTGACCCCGAACACCCCCTGGTGACCCCAAACCCCCTCCCGGTGCCCCCAAACCCCCTCCCGGTGCCCCCCAGCCCCATTGCCCCGTGTCCCACCTTGCTGTCGTGGTGGATGAGCCTCAGCTCGTAGTCGGGCAGGATGTCGGGGCGCCGGTTGACGTCCTCCAGGGCCATCTGCACGGCGGGCAGGCAGGCCTGGCCCCCCGGCCACCCCCCGCTCATGGGGAACAGGGCGCCCACGTGCACGGCCTTCCTGCCTGGGCCCCCCCGAGCGGGGCCGCAGCCCAGGGCCAGGCTCCGCAGGGCCACCAGCGCCCACCGCGCCGGGGCCACCCGCGGCCACCGCCCGCCCTCGGGGGGCCCCCCCGGCGGGCCCCGCATTCCCGGCGGGATGGGGGGGTCAGGAGAGGGGCGGGGGGGCCATGGGAAAAGGGGGAGAGGGTCGGGGGGGGTTGGGGAGCGGTTTGGGGTGGGTTTGGGATTGGGGAGTTGGGGGCGGTTTGGGGGGGTTTGGGGCCGATTTGGGATTCGGGGTTGGGTTTGGGGGTTTGGGGGGGGTTGGAGGCGGTTTGGAGGTTGGGGGTGGTTTGGGGTTGGGGTCGGGATTTGGGGGTTGGGGGTCGAGGGTTTGGGGTTGGGATTGGGGTTTGGGGGGGTCTGAGGATGGCCTGGAGTTGATTTGGGGTTGATTTGGGATTTGGGGTTGGTTTGGGGGGTGGGAGGGAGGGTTTGGGGTTTTGGGATGGGGGGGTGGGAGGGAGAGGGTTTGGGGTTGGTTTGGGGTCGATTTGGGGCTTGGGGGTGGAGATTTGGGGTTTTGGAGGTGGGGGGGGTGGGAGGAGCGGCGATAACGGGATTGAGGTGGAAAATAATGGGATGGGGAAAGGAGGAATAACAGGATGGGGAGAGGAGAAAATAAAAGGGAGACAGATGGAAAAAACCAGGATGGGGAGGGAATAAAAACCGGGATGGGAAGGAGGAAATAAAAGGGATAGAGTTGGGAAAAAAATGGGATGGAGAGGAAGGAAAAAAACTGGGATGGGAGGGTGGGAAAGATCAGGATGAGGAGGTGGGAAAAACCGGGATGAGGAAGGGGAAATAAAAGGGATCAGGGTCAGGGAATGAGAGGGATGGAAAAGAGGGATGGAAAAAGAGGGGAAATGGGGGATGAGAGGGATGGAAAAGAGAGGGATGAGAGGGATGGAGAAGAGAGGGATGAGGGGAGAGGGAAGATGGAGAAGCCGGAGGAGCCGGAGGGATTTGGGGCGGAGAAAATCCGGCGGGGACGGAATCGGGAATTCGGGAGAGAGGGAAAAACAGGGATGGGGGAGGAAAGGATGGGAGGGGGAGGGGAGAAGGAGGGAGGGGAGGAGCCAGGAGGGGGAGGGGGAGAGGGGAGGAGAAAGAGGAGGGAGGGGGTGGAGCGAGGGAGGAGGGGAGGGAGAGGGGAGATGGAGGGAGGGAGGGAGAGAGGGAGAGGGAAGGGATGGGAGAGGGAGGAGGAGGAGGGAGAGGGAGCGAGGAAGGACAGAAGGAGGGAGAAGGAGGAGGAGGAGCGAGAGGGGAGGGGTGGGGGGAGGTCTTTTGGGGACTCCACCCCCCAGGGCAGAGTTTGGGGTGTCCCAGGGGGGTCAAAGGGGGTTGGGGGGGTCTCCGGGGGTCTCCACCCCCCAGGGTAGATTTTGGGGGAGGTCCCGGGGGGGGTAAGTGGGGGGGGAGGGCTCAGGATGGGGGGAGGGGACAGACTCACCTGAGGGGGAGCGACGAACTGGGGGGGGGAATAAACTGAGTCACAAAGGGACCCCCCCAAATCACAGGGACCCCCCACACACCCCAGGGACACCCCAAAACCACAGGGACCCCCTCAAATCACAGAGACCCCACACACACCCCAGGGACACCCCAAAACCACAGGGACCCCCCCAAATCACAGGGACCCCACACACACCCCAGGGACACCCCAAAACCACAGGGACCCCCCCCAAATCACAGGGACCCTCACAGGGACTCCCCAAATCACAGGGACTCCCCAAACCACAGGGACCCCACACACAACCCCAGGGAACCCCAAAACCACAGGAATCCCCACGGGGACCCCCGTGGGGGCTGAAATCCCACCCTGGGGAACCCCCAAACCCAAGGACACCCCCCCAGGAACCCAAACCCCAACTCCAGAGCCCCCCCCCCCAAGACCCCTCTGGGACCCCCCAGGAACCCAAATCTGAACCCTGGAGACCTCCAAAGGCACCCAGAGCCCCCCCGAGCCCCCCCGAGCCCCCCTTTTCGGCTCACGCTCGCAGACGGGTTTGGGGTGGCTCCAGCGGCCCAGCTTGGTGCAGTTGCTGCGGGCGCTGCCCACCAGGCGGAACCCCGGCTCGCAGCTGTACTCAGCCCACGTGCCCTCCACCGGCACCCGCTCCAGCCCCCGCGGCACCACCCGCCCGTTCTCCAGGCTCAGGTGCATCCGGGGGCACGTCCGCACTGCGGCACCCGGGGGGACACCGGTCAGCGGGACACCGGTCAGCGGGACACCGGTCAGCGGGGCACCGGTCAGCGGGGCACCGGTCAGCGGGACGGGCAACGGGGGGTGGGCAAGGGGATGGGCAAGGGGATGGTGGTCGTGGGTAACGGGACGGTGGTCAAAGCGGGGATGGTCAAGGGGATGGTCACGGGGATGGTGGTCGTGGGTAACGGGACGGTGGTCAAAGCGGGGATGGTCAAGGGGATGGTCACGGGGATGGTGGTCAAAGTGCGGGTCGTGGGTAACGTGATGGTGGTCAGGGTGGTGGTGGTCAAGGGGATGGTTGTGGGCAACACGATGATGGTCAAGGGGACGTTGGTCAAGGTCTGGGGGATGGTGGCCAAGGCGATGGTGGTCAAGGTCTTGGGGATGGTCAAGGTAACGGTGGTCAAGGTAAGGCCTTCATGATGGGCAAGAAGGGATGTTGATGGGATGAGGCCGGTGACGGGACGGGGACACTGATGGGACTGGGACGGGATGGTGACAGTGACAGGACAGGGCTGTTGATGGGACGGTGACAGTGATGGAATGGTGGCATTGACAGGACTGGGACGGGATGGTGACAGTGACGGGATGGTGCCAGCGATGGGATGGTGGCACTGACGGGACTGGGATGGGATGGTGACAGTGACGGGACGGGGATGGGATGGTGGCAGTGACGGGATGAGGACACTGACAGGACTGGGATGGGATGGTGGCACTGACAGGACTGGGACGGGATGGTGGCACTGACAGGACTGGGACAGGATGGTGGCACTGACAGGACTGGGACGGGATGGTGGCACTGACAGGACTGGGACGGGATGGTGGCACTGGCGGCGGCGCGGGGGACACTCACGGCAGCGGCTGGGGTGCGCCATGGCCGTCCAGGTGCCGTCGCGCTGGCACTTGCGCACCTTGGGCCCCACGATCTCGCGGTCGGGCCGGCACACGTACTCGATCTCGTAGTCGAAGGGCAGGAACCGCACGCTCTGCACCTCCTCGGGGGTCAGGCCCCGGTAGCGGATCCCCCCGTCCCGCGGCGGGTGGATGATCTGGCACCCTGGCACCCCGGCACCCCAAACGGTGGGTGGGGGGGTGTCCCATGGGGTCGGGGGGGGGTCACTGAAGTTTGGGGGGTTCCGTAGGGTTGGGGGCATCCCACAGGGTTGGAAAGTTCCACAGGGTTGAGGGGTCCCAGAGAGTTTGGGGGATCCCATAGGGTTGGGATGATCCCATAAGGTTGGGGGAGTTCCATAGATTTCGGGATCCCATAGAACTGGGGGGGGGGGGGTCCCATAGAACTGGGGGGGGTCCCATAGGGTTGGGTGGGTCCCATAGGGTTGGGGGGGTCCTGTAGGGTTGGAGGGGTTCCGGGGGGGTCCCTGGGGGTTTGGGGGTCACCCACCTTCGGTGAGGTTGGTGTGGACGGTGCCGCGGGCGGGGGCCACGCTCAGCACCAGGAGCAGCAGCGGCAGCATCTGCGGGGGGAGAGACCTGGATACGGCCCAGCCCTATAGGGGACACCCCGGGCCCTATAGGGGACACCCAGGCCCTATAGGGGACACCCCAAATACAGCACAGCCCCTATAGGGGACACCCCCAGCCCCTCCCTCCCCTCCCCAAAATTTCCCCCCCCTCCCCCCTTTTCCACCCCCCCCAGAGCGTTTCCCACCTCCCAAAAAAGGGAGACCCCCAAGGAAGGGGAGACCCTCCCAAAATAACAAGAGAGACCCCCAAAAATGGGGAGAACCCCCAGATTAAGGGAAGACCCCCCAAAATTAACGGAGACCCCCCTCAAATAAGGGCAGACCCCCAAAATAAAGGGAGACCCTCAAAAAGAAGGAGCCCCCCCCGAACGTGTCCCACCCCCCCAAAAAAAGGGTGGAACCTGCCAAAAAACAGGGGAGACCCCCAAAATAAAGGGAGACCCCAAATAGGGGGATACCCCCCCGAACATGTCCCAGCCCCCCCCAAAAAAGGGGAGACCCCCCAAAAAAACAGGGGAGACCCCCAAAATAAGGGGAGACCCCCAAAACCAAGGGGAGACCCCCAAATTGGGGGGGGGAAGGGGGTGTTTCCTTACCTTGGCCTGAGGTTCCCGGCGCGGGGGGAGGGGGAGACCCCAAATCTGGGGGGTGGGGGAGGGGCGGCGATGGCGGGGGGGGGTCCCGGTGATGGGGGGGGTCCCCAAATTTAGGGGGGGTTCCCACGAAGCCCCTCCCGGAGCCGGGGGGGGGTGGGGGAGGGGAGATGGCGCCGAAGATGCTCACCGCGGTGGCGGATGGGGGAGCGAAAATCGGGGGGAGGGGCGAGGAGGGGGGAGGGCCGGCGGGGGGGAGGTGGGGGGGTCGTGGAGTGTTTTTTGGGGGGGTTGGGGGGCGTCGGGGGGGGCGCGGAGACCCCCGGGATGGGCGGCGGGTCCGGGAAGGGCCGCGGGAGGGGCCTCAGGTGGGAGGGGGAGGGAGGGGGAGCGGGGAGGGAGGGGGAGGGGAGAGGGAGGGGCCGGAGCCGCCTCGTGGGGGGAGGGAGGGGCGAGAGGGGGGAGAGGGGAGAGGGATGGGGAAGTTCGGGGGGGATTTTGGGGGAGTCGGGGGCGATTTGGGGGTGGGGGAGAGGAGGGGAGAGGGAGGGGAGAGGGAGGGAGAGGGAGGGGCTGGAGCCGCCTCGGGGGAGAGGGAGGGAGGAAAGGGGGAGAGGGATTTGGGTGTTTGGGGGGGATTTGGGTGTTTGGGGGGGATTTGGGGGTGGGAGGGAGGGAGGGGAAGGCAGAGGGAGGGGCTGGAGCCGCCTCGGGGGGAGGGAGGGGCGAGAAGGGGGAGAGGGAGGTTGGGGGGGCACTTGGGGGGGAGGGCAGGAGAGGAGGAGGGGGGAGAGGGATTTGGGGGCTTGAGGGGGATTTGGAGGGAGGGAGGGGCAGGTCACGTGTCCCTGCACGTGTCACGTGGGAGTGAGTGGGGGAGAGGGGGAGACCCCCCACAGGAGCTCTTCTCTCCCTCACTCACACCCACCTTCCCTCCCTGGCAGATCTTATCTTACACGATATAATACCTCTTAATCTCCTCCCCCTTCTCTCCCTCTCTCTTCCCCCTCTTTCCCTCCCTACTCCCTCTCCCCTCCATTTCTTCCCTCTCCCCCTTCTGTCCCTCTGCCCTCTCCCCTCCCTCTCTCCCCTCCCTCTCCCTCCTCTCCCTCCCCTCCCCTCTGCCAGTTTTGGGCGGATTTTGTCCGTTTGGGGGCTTTTTTTTAGGCAGGTTTTAATCAAAATCGTTATTTTAATAAATGAGAAATAAATGGATTTTGGAAAAGGGACGTCAATGAAAGAATCAAATAAAGAGAATTTTAAAAGGGAAATTAGAAATAATAAAATCATAAAACAAAAAGGAAAAATGAAAAACAGTAAAACTAATGAAATAGTAAAAGTCTAATAAAAATAATAACGTAAAATAAAAGTAACAAAATAAGAGCACTATAAAATAAACGATGAAATAAAAATAATGAAATAAGGATAAAATACAGAAATAATAAAATAAACATAGGCCAAGTCAAAAAATAGAAAAATAATAAAAAAGTGATAAAATAAAAACCAGTGATAAAATATAAAACCTACAAAATAGTGATAAGACATGAAAAAATAATAAAATAATAAAATAAAAAATGGGGGCGCCCTTGTATCCCTATGCTGTGCTATTTTTGGGGACAATTCGAGGAGAATCAGGGTCAAAAGAGGCGAAAATTCTTTTTTTAGTCGTCCGTCCCGTTCGAGCCCGGCGGGAACCGGGAGGGCGGCGGAAAAGGCCGCGGGTGGCTGAGCCCTGGGGGCCGCCATGTTGTACGGCAGCTGGGGGGCCGCCATGTTGTACGGCAAGAGAGGGGGCCACCATGTTGTACGGCGGGAGGAGCCATGACAGCATTTCCGCTTCCTGTAGAGGAGCGAGGTTAAACTAAGGCCCGGGGCAGAAAAAGGGGGATTTTAGGAGGGTTTGAGGGTCTCGGAGGGAAGTCTTTGTCCTCCTTTATTTTTGACGGCTTTGCATCAAACTTTCCCGGGGTTTCATTTCCCTCCCAGGGGTTCGACGCCGGCGCGGCCATCTTGAGGCGCGGCGGCGCGGTGACACAAGATGGCGGGTCCCTCATAACAAACCCTGTGTTAATTTTGGGAATAATTCGAAAAGAATCAGGACCAAACCGGGCGCGACGATTTCCCTTTACAGACAACCCCGCGCGCCCGGCTTGATCTTACCGGGAACCGGGAGAGCGGCGGAGAAGGCGGCGAGTGAACGAGCACGGAGGACCGCCATGTTGTACGGCAAGAGGAGCCATGGCGGCACTTCCGCTTCCGCTGGGGGAGCGGCGCGGGAGCGGCGGCGGAGCGGGGGGTAAACACAGGCCCGGGGGGGGCTTGGGGGGCTTGGGGGGATTTGGGGGCTCCTGAGGGTGGGGGGGGAGGGGGATATAGGGGATGAGAGCGGGAGAGGCGGCGGGGGGGGGATCCGGGGGGAGGGGGTTGGGGGCTGAGGGGGCTTTGGAGGGGCGGGGGGATTTGGGGGAGTCAGGGGGGATTTTGGAGGATCTGGGGGGATTTTGGGGTGTCCGGTGGGATTTAGGGGGTCTGGGGGGATTTTGTGGGGTCTGGGGTGTTTTGAGGGGTCTTGGAGGGGGTTGGGGGAGATTTGGGGGGTTCTGGGGGGAATTGGGGGGGATTTGGGGGGTCTGATGCTCATTAAAATTTGGGGGCGACTGGGGGGGTCCCTGGACTGTTCCAAGTCAGGCTTTGGGGGGGATTTGAGGGGTTTTGGGGCTCATTAAAATTTAGAGTCGATTTCTGGGGGTCCCTGGGCTGTTCCAAGTCACGGTTTGGGGGGGGAGCCTCTGACCTTTCCCCCCCCGTTCTTTTCCAGCTCCCCCCTCCCAGTTGGACCCTCCCGGACCCCGACTTGAGACCCCCCTCGTGGGGGGGGGGGTTGGGGGGTCTCCAAACGCCCCCGAACCCCCCTGAGCCCCCCCAAAAATGAACTAAAACTCTTTCCCCCCTGAAAAAAAAACCCAAGCCCTTGAATGGCCCCCCCCTCCCCTCCCCCCCAGGGCAGAGACCACCCCAAATCTGGGGGGGGGACCCCGAAATGGGGGACTCGGAGCAGGGGCTGATTTGGGGGGGCACCAACGGGGTGGGGGGGGGTCTTGGTGGGGGTGAAGACCCCGGGACCCCCCCAAAAGGGGCTTCAGAAGAGGAGGAGGAAGAAGAAGAGGAGCTGGACCCCCGGATCCAGGTGGGATTTGGGGGGGGGACGGATTCCCCTGGGTTTGGGGGGGTCCTGGAGGGGGTCTGGGGGGGTCCCAAAGGGCTTTGAGGGGGTTTTGGGGGGGAATCAAAGGGGGTTTGGGGGGCCTTGAGCAGTTTTGGGGCAGGTCCCTGTTCCCCCTCACCCCAACTGTGGGGGTCCTGGGGATCTCTCTCCCCAGTTTTGGGGTCTCTCCCCCCCAGTTTTGGGGTCCCTCCCCCCCTAATTTTGGGGTCTCCCCCCCAGGAGGAGCTCGAGCACCTGAACGAGGCCAACGCTGACATCAACCGGGGGGAGCTGGAGCTGGACGTGAGTCAAACTGGGAGCACTGGGAGCGCTGGGAACGCAAACTGGGACCACTGGGGGCCTGAAATGGGGCACCAGTAACAAACCGGGATTCTGAGTCCTTAACTGGTACCCTTCCCAGTCTGTGTCCCCAGTCCCAAACTGGTTCCCAATCCGTGTCCCCATTCCCAAACTGGTTCCCAATCCGTGTCCCCAATCCCAAACTGGGACCCCGTTCCCAAACTTGTCTCGATCCTCGTTTTCCAGCCCCAAACTGGTGCCCTCAGTCCCTTTACTGGTTTTCCCAGTCCCAAACTGGTCCCAGATCCTTCTCCCCCAGCCCTGCCGGGGCTCCCAGTCCCAAACCAGTGCCCCCAGTCCGTAACTGGGGCCGTTCCCGCCCCATCCCAGGCCGCCCGCTCCGCCTACCGCCGGATCCTGTCCGAGTCCGCCCGGAAGCTGAATTCCCAAGGCTCCCAGCTCGGGAATTGCATCGAGAGGGCCCGGCCCTACTACGAGGCCCGCCGGAGAGCCAAGGAGGTACCGGGAAAATCCGCGGAAAAGGGCCGGGAAGGCCCCGGGAAAGGGGAATTCCGGGTCCCCCATCCCTGTTTCCCGTCGTTTCCCTGGTGTCCCGTTCCCTGAGCTCCACTCCCGGCACTCCCAGCTGGGAATTGCTGAGCCAGGGAGGTGCCAAATCCTGGGAAAAGAGCCTGGAAAACCCTTGGAAAAGGGGCTCGGATTGGGGAAAGAACCCTGGCGAAGGGAATTCCTGGTCCCCAAGCTTTGTCACCCATCCCTTCAGTGGTGTGCCAACCCCTGGAAAAGACTGAAAAAGGGGCATTGATTGGAAATTCCGGGTCCCCGATCCTTGTTTCCCACCCCTTCCCTGGTGTCCAAGTGTCCCGGTCCCTGAAAAAGGCTGGAAAAGGGGCACAGGTCGGGAATTCCAGGTCCCCCATCCTTGTCCCCACCCGCCCGGGCTCAGCTCCCGGTTGGGAATCAGTGCCCCAAGGAGCTCCCAGACCCCGGGAGAACCCCGGGGACCCCCCAGGCGAAGGTCCGGAGCCGGCATTCCCGGCATTCCCGGCGTTGCAGGCGCAGCAGGAGACGCAGCGGGCGGCCCTGCGGTACGAGCGCGCGGTGGGGATGCACAACGCGGCGCGGGAGATGGTCTTCGTGGCAGAGCAGGGCGTGGCCGCCGGCAAGAACCGCCTGGACCCCACCTGGCAGGAGATGCTCAACCACGCCACGCGCAAGGTGGGATACGGGGGGCGGAGCCTTCCCCCTTCCCGGTGGGATCAGCGGTGTGGGAAGAGCTTGGGATAACGGCCCCTTCCCGGGGGGATTCTGTGGGATCAGTGCCAGGGGGGTTGGGAGAACGGCCCCTTCCCCAGGGTGGATTCTGTGGGATCAGCGCTGCAGGAGCTTGGGATAACGGCCCCTTCCCGGGGGTTTCTGTGGGATCAGCACCGGGAAGAGCTCGGGATAACGGCCCCTTCCCCGTGGGGGTTCCGTGGGATCGGGGGCGCGGGAAGAGTTTGGGATGCAGCCCCTTCCCCAAGGGGGTCTTTCCACGGGATCCACCAGCCCCCAGGGATCTCTTTGGGGATGGGCCCCTCGTTGGGATGGGCCCCGTTCCTGAGGGGGTTTGGGGCTGTTCCCCCATTCCCGCCAGGGTTTTCCGGCTGCCCCTCGTTCCCTGTGGAATTTCCTGTGGAATTCCCATGGAATTCCCGCGGGATTGCCGCTGAATGAGGCGGAGGAGGAGCGGGTGGCGCGGCCGTGCCAGGATATCCCCCGTTCCCGAGGGGGTTTGGGGCCGTTCCCCCGTTCCCGCCGGGATTTCCCGGCTCCCCCCTCGTTCCCCGTGTGACTCCCCGTGGAATTCCCGCGGGATTGCCGCGGGGTCGCAGGTGAACGAGGCGGAGGAGGAGCGGGTGCGGAGCGAGCGGGAGCACCAGCGGGTGACGCGGCTGTGCCAGGAGGCCGAGGCCGAGGTCCAGGCGCTCCAGAAGTCCCTGAAACGCGTCATCCTGCGCAGCAAACCCTACTTCGAGCTCAAGGCCCAGTTCAACCAGATCCTCGAGGTCACTGGGAGCGCCGGGAGAGGGACTGGGAATGCTGGGAGAGGGACTGGGGGCATTGGGAGAGGGGCTGGGAATGCTGGGGGAGGGACTGGGAATGCTGGGAGAGGGACTGGGAGGGCACTGGGAACACTGGGAGAGGGACTGGGAACACTGGGAGAGAGAGAAGGCACCAGTTTAACCAGATCCTGGAGGTGACTGGGAGCACTGGGAGAGCTGGGAGAGGGACTGGGGGGGATACTGGGAGGGACTGGGGGGGTATTGGGGGCACTGGGAGCACTGGGAGAGGGACTGGGAGCTCCAGTTCCACCAGATCTGGGAATTAGAACCAATTTTTTTAGGAATCAGAAGCAACTTTTTAGGAATTAGAACCAATTTTTTAGGGATCACAACCGATTTTTTAGGGATCACACCTGACTTTTTAGGGATAACAACCAAATTTTTAGGAACCGCAGCCGATTTTTGGAGATCACAGCCGATTTTTCGGGGGTTCCAAAGAATTCCCAGGCCCCTCCCGCTGATCCCTCCCTGTCCCCCCTCCCCAGGAGCACAAGTCCAAGGTGACGGCCCTGGAGAGCCGCGTCTCCCAGGCCAAGACCCGCTACTCGGTGGCCCTGCGGAACCTGGAGCAGATCAGCGAGCAGATCCACGCCCGGCGGCTCCAGAGGCTCCTGCAGCGCCGGGAATCCCCGGTGGGAGCCGAGAGCAGCCCCCGGCACTCCAGCCCGGAGTCGCGGGGGGCGGATCTGGGGGCGGAGTGTCCGGCCGGAGACTCCCTGTCCGTGCTCAGCCTCCAGACCGTCGCCTCCGACCTGCAGAAGTTCGACTCCGTGGAACACTTGGTGGGGATCTCGGACGCCGCCAGCCTGGGCAGCGACGAGCCGGGGGAGCGGGAGCGGCGCCGGAGCCTCCGGCACCACCGGAGCGTCAGCCTCTGACCCCGAATTCCCGGGAAGCCCCCGCCCCGAACACGCTCGAAAGGCGCCGGGAATTCCGCCGAGTTTCTCAGAGTCGTCCCAAAGCCCCCCCCGGAAATTCCCCAAATCCCACAGAAACCCTCCCCGAGTTCGCCCCGAAATCCCGCAGAATCCACCCCAAACCCCCCCGAAATCCCCGCAAATTCACCCAAAACTCGTCCAGAATCCCACAAAAAAATTCTCCCCGAATTCACCCGAAATCCCGCAAAAATCCAGCCAAAGTTCCCCCCCCCAAATCCACCTGAAATCTCACCAAAATCCTCCCCAAATTCCACCAAAATCCACCCAAATCTACCCCGAAATCTCCCCCAAATTCTGCCACAAAAATCCACCTAAAATTCCCCCCGAATCCACCTCGAGTTCACCCAAAATTCCTCCCCAATCCACCCAAAATTCCCACAAAATTCACCCCAAATCCCACAAAAATCCACATAAAATTCCCCCCAAAGCCACCCCAAAATTCCCCAAATCTGCACAGGATCCAGCAAAAGTTCCCCAAAATTCCCCCCAAAATCCACCCAAATTTTCCCCCAAACTCTGCCAAAATTCCCCCAAAATTCTCCAAACTTCCACAAAAAAATTCCAGCAAAATTTCCCCAAAAATCCCACAAAAATCCACCCAAAATCTTCCAGAATTCCCCCAAATCCACACAAAATGCACCAAAAAACCAGCAGCGATCCCAGGGAATCCCACCAAACCCTGGGATTGTTGGGTGGTGCCGTCGTGTCCCGTGGAATTCCTGGATGAGGCTTGGAAGAGCCTCTTGGATGGTGCCTGGATTTGGGATCTGGGGGGGGACCTTCTGGAATTTGGGGGGTTTGGGGGATAAATTCCTGAAATTTCGGGGCATTTGGGGTTAAACTCTTGGAATTTGGAGGATTTTAGGGTTAAATCCCGGGAATTGGGGGGGGGGGGTTTAAATCCCTGGAATTTTGGGGGGGTTGGGGATAAACCCTTGAAATTTGGGTGCTTTTGGGATTCACATCCTGAAACTTTTGGGGATTTGGGGGATTTTCCCAAAATTGGGGAGTTCTGGGGTCATATCCCTGGAATTTGGGAAGTTTGGGGGCTTAAAGTCTTGGAATTTGTGGGTGTTTGGGATAAATCCCTGAAATTTGGGGGTTTATCCCCAAAATTTGGGAAGCTTTGGGGTTAAAATCCTGGAATTTGGGAGTTTTGGGGAATTTGGAATTTGAGGGGGGAAGGGGTGGAATAAATCTCTGGACTTTGATGGATTTTGGGATTCACCCCAAAAATTGGATGGGTGAACTGGGGGAGGGGGGAGGCGGATCCAAATCCCACAGAATTCCATATTCCCATCACTGGGATGAGCTGGGAACACCCTGAGTGGGGGGAGGGACCCTCCTTTAACCCCATTCCTGTGGAATTCCAGCTTTTCCGGGGAGAAATCCCCCCTTTTCCCAGCAGAAGCTGCGTCAGGAGCCGAATTGCACTAAAGGGGGGGTTGGGAATTTTTGGGATGCGGGGGGGGCTGTGATGAGAATTCCCGGGTTCGAGGCAGCCCCGGGGGTCCCTCCAGGGACTTGATCCCAAAAAAAAAACCCCACCCACCCCCCTGGGATGAGATTCCGGCACCTGGGAACGAGGAGGGGCCGGAAAAACCGGCCCCGAATATTCTTAATATCAATAAAAATGGTTATTGTTGTAATTCCGTGGGTCCTTCTCTCGCCATTCCCGCCATTCCCACCATTCCCAAAGCACTTCTCCCTCCCCACACGGACACTTTTGGGATGAATCCTCTTTATTTTCGGTGGGGTTTCCTTTTTTTTTTTTTTTTAATTCTCCCCCTTTTTTGTGTGTTTTCCTCCTTTTATTTACGTTTTTCCCCAATATTTTTGGTGTGTCTCCCTTTTTTTATATATTTACCCCCTTTTTCTTTTCCTCTTTTTTTGTCTTTTCCCTCTCTTTGGTGAATTCCCCCTTTTATTTCAGTGTTTTCCCACTTTTTTTGGTGATTCCCCCCCCCCCCTTTTTTTGGTCTTTTCTCCCTCCCTCCCTTTTTTTTTTTTTTTTTTTTTTTTATCTTTTCTCCCTCTTTTTTTCCAGGGGTTGGGAAAATCACGCCGAGGACCGGGAAAAGCATTCCCAGACCCGGATAAACATCCCCGGGACAGGGTAAATCATCCCCGGGACCAGGATGAACATTCCCGAGACTGGGAAAACTCACTCCTGGGACGGGGATAAACATTCCCGGGATGAGAAAAAGCATTCCCAGACCGGGCGGAGCCTCCCCGGGACCGGGATGAACATTCCCGGGACCAGGAAAACATTCCCAGCGCCCGGAAAGTCGCTCCCGGAACCGATTAGAGCATCTCCCGGACCGGGATAAAAGATTCCCAGGACCGGGAAAAGCATTCCCGGGACCCGAACAACATTCCCGGGATCGAGCGGAGCATCGCCGGCACCGGGAAAACATTCCCAGGACCGGGAAAACCACTCCCGGGACCGGGAAAAACATCCCTGGGACCGGGAAAAACATTCCTGGGACAGGGAAAAATCACTCCCGGGACCGGGAAACACATTCCCGGCTTCGGGAAAACCATTCCCGGCCCCCCCCCTTTCCCCCTCCTCTTCCTCCCCCTGGATCGGCCCTTTCCTGTGTCCTCCCGGAAGGATCCGGGCGGGAAACGGCGCCGGGAACCGGGAAAAGGGCTCCTGGAATTCCCAGGGATGCTGGATCGGGGCGGGGGGGGCGGCAGAGTATCCCCGTTGTTCCCTGGAAATCCCAGATTTCCCGAGAGGGAATCCGTGGATTCTTTTGTGGGATCGTTCCAAAAAAAAAAAAAAAAAAAAAAAAAAAAAAACAAGGAGGGAAGGGGGGGGTGGTGTGAAATTTTGGGATCGAGGTATGGGATCCAAATTTTGGGATCAAACTTTGATCCCGAAATTCGGAGGGGGGAGGGGGGGGTTGTTCCTGGAAAAAAGACCCTTGAGCGCCACCAGATCCCGGCGGTGGAAAAACTGGGAATTCCTGATGCTCCTGTTGATTTTTTTCTGCCTTTTCCTTTGGAATCTTGGAGGGGGGGGGGGGACCACAGGAATTTTTGGCTTAAATAATTCGAAATTCCTTGGGTTTTTTTGAGGTGTAACCTTCCCACGAGGAATGATCCCTATGGATTCCATCCAACGGGAGCTATTCCAGGATGGGAAAAGGTTGGGAAGGGGCTTCCTGGAGCTGCTCCATACCTGGAAATGCTCCAGGACGTGGATTTGGAGGCCCTTCCACAGGGGAGGGGGTTGGGAAAACCACGAGAAACGGGATTTCGAGGCGCTCTGAAGCCATTCCAAGGAAAAACTGGGAATAACTGGGAATTGCTAACTCTAATTTATTACTACTCATGGAAAGGAAGCAACTCCCAACACCGGGAATGACACCGACCGGAATCCGCGACGCGACGACACCGGAAACACCAGGAAGGGGCGAAATTCCACGGAAATCACAGGTTGGGGGCGTTTTCCCCCCAAATATCCTCAGGTTTGGAGCTTTTGGGGCTCATTTTTGGCCCTTTTGGGGTCACATGTCCTCCAGAAATTCCGTCCTGTCGGAGCTCCCAGGGAAGTTCTTGGTTTCATCCCGTTCCTTCCTCTTCCTCCGGAATTTCGGGACGGTCCCACCCCGCCCGTGGCGGCTCCGGAGGTTCCCAAACCACCAAACCCTGGAATTTTGGGGTAATTGCCCTGAACTTTGGGGATATTTGGGCCCAGATTGGGGCCACTGAGCCCCAAGATGCCTCATTAGCACATTTTTTTCCTATATTTTGATATTTTTCCTCATTTTTCCATAAACACAAGAAGTCCGTCCCGTGGTATCTCCACAAACTCCTCTATTATTTAATTTCCACTTCGAATTTTCCCAACTCCGAAGTTTTCGGCAATTCCCGACTTTTTCAAAAGTCTTTTTCCAGCTTTTTATCCCCTTTTGGGACAAACTAAGAGTCATTTTTAGCCTCACTTGATGTTTTTCTTCATTTTTCATTAATTTTTTCACTTTTTTTTAGTGTTTTTTGAAGGTTTTTGATTTTTGACCCATTTGTTTTCTTCCGTTTCCCATTTTTTCCTCGGGAAACTGGGAAAAATCAGAATTTTAGGCAGTAAAAAAGCACCACTTTTCCCACTTTTTCCTGCTTGTACCGAAAGACATTAAATCCCGAAAAACAACCCCAAAAAATTAAGGAAAAGCCATAAAAAACTCACCACAAACACACCGAAGTTGTCCCAAATTCCATGTGGAAAAGGAAAAAAAAAACCCCACCCAAAATTCCCAAAATATTCCCTGAAGTGCCTGGAAAATGTCACCAAATCACTGATTTTGCCCCAAAAGTTGGGTTTTTTTTCCAAAAAGGACAAAAAATGGTTAAAATTAAAAGAGGAAAAGCCCAACCGGCTCCGTTTGGGATAATGTGGGATCAGAGGGAGAGATGGGAAATGTGGAATATCCCAGAATTCCTCAGGGCAGCTCCCAGGTGGGCACAAGATGATACAAAAATGTGGGAAAAAATCCTGCGAGGTGGGAGCAGAGGGAAAAACCGGGATGGGGCCGGATCTTCATCCCAGGGGAAAGGCCGGAGGGGAATCCAGGGCAGGGGGGCCGGGGTGGGAATGGGGGGGGTCAACCGGCCCCGGTTGGGCACTGGGAGCACTGGGGAGGTGGGCGGAGCCACAGAATGAAGGGGAGTTCCCCATCCCCTAATTAATGACGTCATTAATTAGCCCAGAAGGTCAAAGGGCTCCAGGTTGGAAGAAGCTCCAACGATGAGTCAACGAGACCCAAGGTTGGGTCTCTGCGTCCAACCCATCCCAGTTGGGTACTGGGAGCACCGGGAGGTAACTGGGAGCACCGGGAGCACCGGGCAGGTGGGCGGAGCCTCAGTTGATGAGCGAGGGGGTCTGGGCGCCCGCGGGCGGGGCCGGGGCGAACGACGGGTGGGCGAAGGCGCGGCCGGGGAACGAGAGCGCCCAGGGCAGCTCCAGGGCCGGGCCGGAGAGCGCCGGCACGGGCAGCGCCGAGGGCGACGCCGGGAACGACCCCAGCGAGGCCACCGGGGCCGGGAAGGCGGCGCCGGGGAAGGCCCCGGAGCCCGGCGGGGGCGGCGGCATCTCAGTGGCCACGGAGGTACCACCGGCGGCCGCCGCCTTGGGCTTGTCCCCGCCGTGGGTTCGCTGGTGCCGGTTGAGGTGGGAGCTGCGGCTGAAGCACTTCCCGCACTCCGAGCACTTGTAGGGCTTCTCGCCGGTGTGCACGCGCTGGTGGATGGTGAGCTCGGAGCGCTGGATGAAGCTCTTGCCGCACTCGGAGCACTGGTAGGGCTTCTCGCCCAGGTGGATGCGCTGGTGCTTGATGAGGTTGGAGGAGACGCTGAAGCACTTCCCGCACACGTTGCACTCGTAGGGCTTCTCCCCGGTGTGCATCCGCCGGTGCTTGGTGAGGTCGGACTTCTGGATGAAGCCCTTGCCGCACTCGGGGCACTTGTAGGGCTTCTCGCCGAGGTGCGTCCGCTGGTGCTTGATGAGGTTGGAGCGGACGCCGAAGCTCTTCCCGCAGTCCCCGCACTCGTAGGGCTTCTCGCCCGTGTGCATCCGCCGGTGCTTCACCAGCGCCGAGTTCTGCCCGAAGCTCTTCCCGCACTCGGGGCAGGCGTACGGCTTCTCGCCGGTCTGTGTGCCCTGGTGCCTCACTGCGCCCTCCGCCCGCGCCGAGAAGCTCTTCCCGCACTCGCTGCACTTGTGGCTCCTCTCCGGTGCCGCCCGCGGCGCCCACGGGAAGCTCTTCCCGCACTCGCCGCACTTGGAGGGTCTCTCGGTGCCGCCGCCCAAGAGCCGCCGGCGCTTGGCGGGCGACGCCAGGAAGCTCTTCCCGCAGTCGCAGCACCGGCGCGGCTGCTCGGCGCCGGCGTGGACGCGCTGGTGCCGCTCCAGGTGGGAGCTCTGGGAGAAGCTCTTGCCGCAGTCGCCGCAGCGGAACGGCTTCTCGCCCATGTGGATGCGCCGGTGCCGGTCGAGGTGGGAGCTCCAGGCGAAGCTCTTCCCGCACTCCCCGCACTCGTAGGGCTTGGCGGCGCCGGCGTGGATCTGCCGGTGCTTCGCCAGCGCCGCGTCAGCGCCGAAGCCCTTCCCGCACTCCCCGCACTTGTAGGGCTTCTCGGGAGCGGCGCCGCCGTGCCGGCGCTTGGCCAACGCCGCCGGCTTGGCCGCCGAGCCCTTCCCGCGCTCCGGCGGCTCCGGCTCGTCGCCGCAGTCGGCGCAGCGGCACGAGGGGTCCCCGCGGGCGGCGGCGTGGGTGCGGCGGTGCCGGTCGAGGTGGGAGCTCCAGCTGAAGCTCTTGCCGCACTCGGGGCAGGCGTAGGGCTTCTCGCCGGTGTGGATGCGCCGGTGCCGCTCCAGGTGGGAGTTCCAGTTGAAGCCCTTGCCGCAGTCGCCGCATTTGTAGGGCTTCTCCTCCAGGTGGAGCTTCTGGTGCTTCACCAGCCCGGCGCTGGCCGGGAAGCTCTTGCCGCAGACACCGCACTGGCAGGGCGCGGCGCCGGCGCCGGCGTGGACGCGCTGGTGCTGGATGAAGGCCGAGCCGACGCTGAAGGTCTTGCCGCAGTCGGGGCACTTGTAGGGTTTGTCGCCGGCGTGGCGCCGCTGGTGGGTGATGAGGGTGGAGCTCAGCCGGAAGCACTTCCCGCACTCCGGGCACTTGTGGGGCCGCTCCGTCCCGCGCCGGCGCTTGGGGAAGGCGGAGCCGAACGCCAAAGCTTTGCCGCAGTCGTGGCACCGCCCGTGGCCCAGGAGGCTCCGCGGCGGGAACTTCTTGAAGCCGCGGGGTCCCGACTTGCTCTGGCGCTTCCCCGCGGCTTTGCGGGGCTGGGGGTCGGGTTTCTGGGGGACCTCGCCGGGTTTGGAGCCCTCGGCGTTGGGCGGGTTGGCCGCGGGCTTGGGTTTGGCCGCCGAGGCCGAGGCGGCTGCGGCGTCCACCTTCTCCAGCTCGCCCGGGGGAGGCTCCTCCTCCTCGTTGTCTGTCAACAAACCATCGTCTGCCAGGACAAAAATGGGGGAGAGGGTCTGTCAGTGCCCCAAACCCACCCCTCCGTGGGTTTTGGGCTCTTCCAAAACATGTCCTTGGTCAACTTGGTCAACTCGGTCAACTAGGTCAACCATGGCCCAATTCCCACCCCCCTTGTGGATTTTGGGCTCTTCCAAAACATGTCCTTGGTCAATTTGGTCAACTCAGTTAACCATGGCCCCAATCCCCACCCCCCTCCTGGATTTTGGGATCCCCCACCCCCCTCTTGGCCAACGTCTCCCCCCTCCCTGGACTCACCGGCCCCGAGGCCGCGTCTCCGGTGGGACTCGGCGAAGGCGGTGATTCGCGGCCAACTGATGGCGATTTCCTCGGCTGGGGGGGACATTTGGACACTGATTTTAGGTCTTTACACCCCAAAAAAACCCCCAACCCCACCAGGGCCGTCAGTGGCTGCATTCCCGCTTTTCCCAGACTTGATTTTGGTGGATTTCGGGGGATTTTTGGTGGTTTTCCGCCGTCATTAATTCACCCGCCAATTAAATCCCGCTCACGGAATTTCATTCATCGGAAAAGATCCAAACTTAGGGAGAAATGAAGGGATTCGGGAGCCTCACCCAAGGAAATTACGCTCTCGTAGCTCTCCTGCATCTTATCCCGGTTTTCCGAGCTCGTCCCGGTGCCGACGGGTTCTTTGGGAAGAGATTCCCCCCTAATCCCTGAAATTCCAACAGCTCCAGGTTAGGATCTGGGGTCCACAGAGTGGGGAGACCCCAAAACTGGGATACAGCTCGCCCCCCCCTAAGGATTTCTGGGAAGGGATTCCCCCTTAATTCCTAATTTTCCCCCTCTAATTTTCCCCCTTAATCCCTATTTCCCCCCCAGTTCCTAATTTTTCACCCTTGATCCCCAATTCCTCCCCCTTAATTTTTAATTTCCCCTTCTAATTCCTAATTTTCCCCCTTAATTCCTAATTTCCCCCTAAATAAGGATTGGGAAGGGGGGTGGAGGGATTTAATGGGAATGAGGGGATTAAAGGGAGGGGGTTAAAATGCAACAGGAGGAGGAAAAACCGGGAAAAGGGAATGGAAAAAGGGGGGAAAGGGATGGAAAAAGGGAGGAAAGGGATGGAAAAAGGGGAAAAATTGGAAAAGGGGGGGAAAGAAATGGAAAGAGGAGGAAAAACGGGAAAAAGGAATGGAAAAGGGGAAAAATGGAAAACAGGGGTGGAAAAAGAGGGAAAAACAGGAAAATGAATGGAAAGGGGGGAGGGGACACCGGGAAAAAGGAATGGAAAGAGGGGAAAAACGGGAAAAGGGAATGGAAGGGGGGGGAACGGGAAAAAGGGACGGAAAAAAGGGAAAATGGGGAAAAAGGAACGGAAGGGGGGGAAAACCAGGAGGAATGAATGGAAAAGGAGGGAAAACGGGGAAGGGGCGGGAGGGGGGGAACGGGGAGAGGGGGGATAAATGAGGGAATAAAGGTTTCGGGAGCCCGGAGAGGGAATTTTGGGAATCGGGAGGGGCGGGGGCAATGGAAAAGCGCGGCTGGCGCGGGGGGTGGGAATTGGGAATGCGAGGGAAAGGGGGGAGGTAAATAAAGGGGGGGGGATCGGGGCGCGGCCGGGAGAGGCTTCAAATCCCAGGAAAAATTCCCGTTACCTGGAAGCGGAGGATGCGGAGACGCCAGAGGTGGGAAAAGGGGAGGATTTGGGAATGGGGGGGGGGTTGGAATTTGGGGAGGGGGCGGGAGAAAGGAGGGATTTGGGGGGGGGGGGCTGTTGCACGTCGGCTCCGAGAGCCCCGGACACACAGGAAGGGGATGGAATAAACCGGGATCGGGAAAAAAGGGGGAGGGGGGGGACAGGAAAAGGTGGTGGGGAGGGGGGAGGGGTGGGAAAAGGGGGAGGGGGGCGAGGGGGGGAGATCCCGAGGCCACGAGCCCCCGGGAACGCCGGGATTCGGGAAGGAAGGTCGGGATTGGGGAAGGAAGGTCGGGATTGGGGAAGGAAGGTCGGGATTCGGGAGCGGGTTGGGAGGGGGGCGGAGGGCGGGAGGAAGGAACGACCCCCCCATCCCAAAAAAAAAAAAAAGAGGAGGGGGTGGGGGAGGGTCGCGGCGTCGCCGCCCCGGCTTTGTCCCCCTGGGCGGGGGGAGGGGGGATCGGGGGGTCCCGAAATTCCTGGGGGGGAGGGAGAGGGAGATGGAGGGGAAGGGGGACTGGGGAGTCCCGAAATTCCTGGGGGGAAGGAGATGGGGGGGTCGGGGGGGCGTCAGGGGGGTCCCGAAATTCCTGGGGGGGAGGGAAAGGGAGAAATCGGGGGGATTGGGGGGATCCCGAAATTCCTGGGGGGGGGGAAGGAATGAGGGGGGTTGAGGGGGGGTCTCTTCATTCCCTTCGTTCCTGGGGGGAGAGGGAATGGGGGGACTGGGGGGGGTCCCTTCATTCCTGGGAGGGATTGGGGGTCCCGACATTCCTGGGGGAGAGGAAATTGGGTGGGATTTAGGAGGGATTGGGCTCCTCGTTCCTTCATTCCTGGGGGGTTTGGGGGGGCACCAAGATTCCTGGGGGGAGGAAAGGAAAGGGGGGACTGGGGAGCTCCTTTTATTCCCGGGGGGGGTTGGGAGGGGTCCCTTCATTCCTGTGGGAGGATCCCGAGCCCCCCCCTTGGTTATTCCGGGGGGTTTTTGGGATGATGATGGGACTGTCCCGCTTTCCCAGGGTTTTCCAGCAGGCGATGGATCCGTGGGAGGAACCGGAGCCGGAGCAGACGGTGCTTTTCAGGGATAATGGGGAAGAGGAGGAGGAGGAGGAGGAGGAGGAGGATCCCTACGACCCCCTCGGGATGCAGAGTAAGAGTCGGGGGGTCTACCTACCCTCCTACCTTGGGAAGGGGGTGGAGACCCCCAGGGACACCTGGGAATGGGGTCTCCATCCCCCTTGACATCCCGTGGGATTGGGGTGTCCATCTCCTTTAACATCCCATGGGAATGGGGTCTCCATCCTGTGGGAATGGGAGTTTTATCCCCCTTGATATCCCATGGGAATGGGGTCTGAATCCCACAGGAATGGGGTCTCCATCCCTCCGTGATATCCCATGGGGTTAAGGTCTCCACCCCCTTGATATCCCTTGGGAATAGGGTTTCCGTTCCCTTTGATATCCCATGGGAATGGGGTCTGAATCCCATGGGAATGGGGTCTCCATCCCACCTGATATCCCGTAGGAATTGAGTCTCCATCCCCTGGGAATGGGCTCTGAATCCCGCGGGATCGGCACCTCATCCCACGGCATCGGGACCTCATCCCGTCCCACCCCCACGGGATTCACCCCCCCCTTCCCTCCCCGCCAGGAACCCCGAGCGACCCGGAGATCGTGGAGCTCGACGGCACCGCCCTCCCTCCCCCGGCCACCCCCGACCCCGATGAGGATTCCCGGGAAACCCTGCGCTGGACGGTGGTGCAGCAGATCGAGCCCGGCTCCCCCTCCGCCCCCGGCGCCAAACCCGGCGGCTGCTCCTCGTCCTCCTCCTCCTCCCCGGCCTTCTCCAACCTGCGCAGCATCATCGTCCTGCAGAAGAGCTACGAGTGCCGCGAGTGCGGGAAGAGCTTCAGCTGCAGCTCCCACTTCCACAAGCACCGCCGGACGCACACGGGGGAGCGCCCGTTCCGCTGCCGCCACTGCGGCAAGACCTTCAACGTCAGCTCCAACCTCTACCGGCACCAGCGCGCCCACGGCGCCGGCCCGGCGACGCCGACGCCGACGGCGGCTCCGAGGGCGCGCGGCCTCCCCTACGAGTGCCAGGAGTGCGGGAAGAGCTTCAACGTCAGCTCCAACCTCTCCCGGCACCGGCGCGCCCACGCCGCCGGCTCGGCCGCGGTGCCGACACCGACACCTACGGCAACGCCGAGGGCTCGCGGCCTCCCCTACGAGTGCCAGGAGTGCGGGAAGAGCTTCCGGCGCAACAAGGAGCTGGTGACGCACCAGCGGCTGCACACGGGGCGTCTGCCCTTCCAGTGCGGCCACTGCGGGAAGGGCTTCTCCTGGAGCTCCCACTGGGAGCGGCACCAGCGCGTGCACACCGGCGAGAAGCCCTACCAGTGCCCCGAGTGCGGCAAGAGCTTCAGCCGCAGCTCCCACCTGTACCGGCACCAGCGCGGCCACGCCGGCGGCCGCTCCTACATCTGCACCTACTGCGGGCGCAGCTTCGGCAGCACCCTGCACTTCGAGCGGCACCAGCGCACCCACACGGGCCAGCGGCCCTACAAGTGCACCCTGTGCCGCAAGAGCTTCGGCGACGCGCCCGCGCTGGTCAAGCACCAGCGCCTGCACCTGGACGGGCCCTTCCGCTGCGAGGAGTGCGGCAAAGCCTTCGGCGCCCGCGCCCAGTACGCGCGGCACCGGCGCAACCTCCACGGCGCCGGCGGCACCGGCGCCGGGGGCGGCGCGGGTGCGGCGGAGAAGCCGTACCGGTGCGGGGACTGTGGGAAGAGCTTCTCGTGGAGCTCCCACTGGGAGAGGCACCAGCGGATCCACACTGGGGAGAGGCCGTACCAGTGCGGGGACTGCGGGAAGCGCTTCGGCCGCACGTCCCACCTGTACCGGCACCAGCGGACCCACGCCGGCGGCCAGCCCCACGTGTGCGCCGAGTGCGGCAAGAGCTTCAACAGCACCCTCCACTTCCACAAGCACCAGCGCGCCCACGCCGGGCCCCGGCACGGCTGCGCCGACTGCGGGAAGGCCTTCGCCGACGGCTCGGCGCTGGCCAAGCACCGGCGGGTCCACGGGGGAGGAGGAGGGGGGGGGGTCGGGGCGGAGAAGCCCTTCCCGTGCCCGCGGTGCGGGAGGAGGTTCGGCGGCACCTCCCACCTGCGGCGGCACCTGCGCAGCCACGGCGAGGAGGAGGAGGCCGAGCCGGTGGGCTGAGCGGCGCCGCCGGCGAGTCGGGCGGAGTTCCGGCCTCCCGGAGGGGCCGCCGGGCGAGCCCGACCCCATTGGGTTGACCGGCATTCCCGTTGAGTTGGGCAGAGTTCCGGCATTCCAGAGGGGCCACCGGATGAGCCCAGTTCGTTGGGTTGGCCAACCTTGACGTTGACTTGGGTAGAGCCCCTATTCCGGTGTTCTGGAAGTGCCGCTGGATAAACTCAGCTCGTTGGGTTGGCCAACCTTGACGCTGACTTGGGTAGAGGCCCAATTCCCGATGGGAATCCCGGTGGGATCGGGCTGTTCCGGCGGCGCCGAGGGCGTAGTTTTCGTAGGGTAGAGTAGGAAGGGTGTAGAGTAGAGGGTGGAAGGAGGAGCCGAGTGGGAATTTGGGAGTTTTCCAAGGGGGTGTTTTCCCTCTGGGTCAAAAACCAAAAGATGGAATCCTGCCAAGGGAAAACCCAACCGGGTTCCTGCTCCGGGCGGATTCCGGGAGAAACCACGTCCAAGGTTGGAGTTCTTGGAGGCGCCACCAACTCGTTGCCAAGCTCGGAGAGACCCCAAAACGTGGGATGGAGTCGCCCCTGGATCGCCCCAGATTCCCATCCAGCCTTGGCCGACGCCCATTCGGAGCGTGATGATGTCATCAAGGATTCGGGGCAAAAAACCCACCAATTTTGGGGGAAAAAATCAATTTGAGGCAAAATCCCTTGATTTGGGATAAGAACCCCAATTTGGGGCAAAATCCCCTGATTTGGGGGTAAAATTCCCTGATTTGGTGGGTTTCAGTTGAGGAAGAAGCCAGATCATCCCAACTCCATCGTGTCCCAAAAATTTGGGAAGTTTATTTATTGTATTTATTCAGCTGTTGGTTGGGAGAATCCCAAGGGTTGGGGCAATTCCAAAGGTTGGGATGATTCCAAGGGTTGGGACAATTCCAAAGGTTGGGGTGATTCCAAGAGTTGGGACAATCCCAAAGGTTGGGATGATCCCAAAAGTTGGGATAAGGGCGGATTTGTCCCAACCCGGAGGCTCCTCCTGGGTTGATCCATGGGGCTGGAACGGCTCCTCCAGGAGCATCCAAAGGGAATTCCCAGCTGGAAAAATGGGAATCCTCGGGATGAACCCCAGGAGGGGGAGCAGGACGTGAATCCGGGGGGTTTTCCCAGTGGATTTGGGGGTCGGATCCGTCTCTTCCCAAGGGAAGCAGGAGCTGTGTTTGTTTTGTGAATAAAAATAGATTTAGTGGGAAAAGCCGGAGCGTCCTCGGAGCTTTTCCCGGGAAACCGGAGGGGGGGGGTCACCTGGGGTTGGGGGGGGCCAAGAACGAGCCCCACATTCCTGGAAAACCTCGGGAAACTCCTCGGGGAATTTCTTGGGCAATTCCTTGGGCATCTCTTGGGAATTTCTTGGGAATTCCTTGGGAATTCCTTGGCTCCCCCTTCCCTCAGAGGGTCCCTGGGGAGCTGAGGCATCGGGGAGGGGGGGGGGGGGG